TGACCTAGAGGCAACAACAGAAGCAATCCAGTCTTCACTGGTTCTCAACAAAGATGGACCTAGCTGGAGGGAAAGAGAAGATGGCCACAAACCAACCGAGGACAGGCAGGGGCTGATGGAGATGGGACAACAGCTAAGCTTAGCTGGGCCCAGGATCGAAAGTGGAAGGGAGGCTCAGGAAGAGGGGGATAAGAAGGAGCCCAGCCCACCAACCTCACCATCAAGAGGGGCTATTGGGACTATCATTCAAGAAGCCCAATATGCAGTCCAGCTAATTAGGGGGGAGCCCCCCTCGGTGAACCAAGCCAACCCACTGAAAAAAAGAAAGGCCGATCAAGGAAAGAGCGGGGAAGAAATCTCACCAGCGATATCAAACCTTTCTAACTTTAGTGTTGATTGTGTTGAGTTTAACCCAGGTCAAGAAGAGCAGGGGAAGGGCAGAAGGAGACAAGTGTATAGGAGGAGGAGTATCGCAGCAATAACAGCAGCAGAGAAGCATTCCGAGGAGGGCCATGATCCGATCTCGAGGGCAGCGGTGGCAAGCCTGGAGCCGCCTCCAGAAGCATGAGGCTACTAAGCTGGAACTGTCGAGGATTTGGCCAATCCTCTACAAGAAGCTTCTGCAAGAATCTCTGTCGCAGGTTTAGGCCATCAATCTTCTTCCTGATGGAAACAAAGCAAGAGGAAGGCTTCATGGAGGAGAAGAGGAGAAGATTGAAATTTTCAAGTTCGGAGTATTTTAGCCCTAGTCAAGGCGGTAGTGGATTAGCCTTATGGTGGAATGAGAATGTATCGATCAGGGTGATTGATAGGTCTAGATTCTACTTGGATGTTTGTATTAGCTGGGGTAGCAATGTATGCTACTGTACTTTTGTTCACGCTCCCACCACATCGGTGGAGAGAAGAGCTTTCTGGGACAAACTCACCTCCTTGAGGGACAGGGGGGATGAGGATTGGCTCCTTGTAGGAGATTTTAACACTGTATTGTCGGACTATGAGAAGCAGGGGAGATGACCCATTAGAAATGAAAATCATGCACCTTTCAAGTATTTTGTGGAGCAGAATGGCCTCATTGACCTGGGGTTTAATGGACCAACCTTCACGTGGAAGAATATGCAGAGAGGGGAAGAAGGGATTAGGGAGAGACTCGACCGAGCACTATGCTCCCCTTCTTGGGGCCTAAAATTTGAGAGAGCAAAGGTCTTCCACGAAGTTTTCGTGGAATCTGACCATTGCCCCATTAGAGTGGATTTTGACATGCTGGAAGCAAAGAAAGATGTCCCATTTCGTTTTGATAAGAGATGGAGGTTTGAGGAAGAGTGTATTCAAATTGTCAAAGATTGTTGGGAGAAGGAAGGGGATGTGATGAACAGTCTCAATAACTGTAAGACTCAGCTTGAGAAATGGGCGAAGAAGGACAGGCAGGAAAAAAATAAAAGAGAAGAGGAGATTAAGAAGAGACTTCTACAGATACAAGAGATGGACGATTACAGCTCTCACCTTGATGAAGAACGCCATCATGGAAAAGAACTTTGTGTTTTGTGGGAAAAGGAGGAGGAGTATTGGCTCCAGGTCTCCAGAGTGAACTGGATGCAAGGGGGTGACCAAAACTCGGCCTTTTTCCACGCGGCATGCATTCAGAGAGGAAGAAAACAAATAGGATAAATAGACTGAAAAATGGGATGGGAGACTAGATTGATGACCAGGACACTCTTAAACACATGACAACAGACTACTATCAAAGCTTATTCAAGGCTAGAGAGCCCAATGTGCTACGATTTGACATGGAAGGATTTCCCAAGCTGGTCACAGAAGAAATGAATTCAGAATTGGGAAAGGAGTTGAATAATGATGAGATAAAAGAAGCGGTTTTCTCGCTGGGGGCCGCTAAGGCTCCTGGGCCGGATGGGTTCCCAGGCCACTTCTATCGTAGATTCTGGAACATTTGTGAGGCCAAGTTTTGTGAGGAAATCCGAGCTTTCTTCAGGACATCCAAAATTCCAGATGGATGGAACGATACGTTCATCACCATCATCCCAAAGATTGATGCCCCAGAAGACTTGGGGCAATTTAGACCCATCAGCTGCTGCAACTTCAGGTATAAAGTTATTACGAAGATCTTGGCTATCAGAATCCAGAGGTGGCTGCCTGTGCTGATCAATGAAGTACAGTCAGCATTCACGGGGGGAAGGCAGATTCAGGACAATATCGTTATTGTCCATGAGGTACTGAACCACTTTAAGAAACACAAGACTGGTCGCAAAAGAGACATGATGATCAAACTTGACATGAAGAAAACGTATGACTTGGTGGAGTGGAAGTGTCTTTTGAAGCTGCTACAGGCTTATGGTTTTTCTGAGAAATGGTGCAATTGGATTAAAGAGTGCATCTCAACGGTCAAGTTCCAGGTCCTTTTCAATGGATCCCCTTCCCAGAGCTTCCTCCCTTCAAGAGGTATCAGGCAGGGAGATCCTCTCTCCCCGCTCCTTTTCATTCTAATGACAAATGCATTATCCTTTCTAGTGGAAAAGTCGAGTGAAGCTAGACATATCAAGGGTCTAAAACTGAACCAGTTCTGTCCAAGGCTCACTCATTGCCTGTTTGCGGATGATACAGTCCTTTTTGGGGAGGCATCCGTAGTGGAAGCTATAAACCTTATGAATATTGTCAAGGATTATGGAGCGCTAACAGGCCAAGAGATTAATCCTACGAAATCCTCTGTGTTGTTTAGTCTCAACGTGTTGTAGGAGGATAAGATGGCTATTAGGGAGGCACTGGGTTTCGAGGAGGGGGTGCACCATGACAAATACCTGGGAATCCCGACTTCATGGGGAAGGTCAAGAAAAGAAATGTTCCAATTCCTTATTGAGATAATGGAGAAGAAAGGAGAAAGCTGGCAGAGTCTCTTACTCTCGGCAGGAGGGAAGGAGGTTCTTCTCAAAGCTTTTTCCAAACTATCCCGACATATCTTATGACTATCTTCCTGTTCCCTCAAGGCACGACAAAGAAGATGGATGGGATGCTGCGAAGGTTTTTTTGGTCGGGGTCAACGACAAAGAAAACTATCCATTGGAGAGCGGGGAATGTGTTATATGCCCCCAAAGAAGAGGGAGGGCTGGGGTTCAGACCATTTTCGGTTGTCAACCTTGCCCTACTCACAAAACAAGCCTGGAGGGTGATCAGGTCACCAGAAGCTCTATGGGTTAGGGTTCTGAAAGGGCTTTATTTCCCAAGAGGAGATTTCTTGGAGGCTAAGAAAGGTTGCCGGGCTTCGTGGATCTGGAGTAGCCTTTGTGAGGCTCGGAAATGGCTTTTGAAGGGGATAGTGAAGGCGATTGGGAATGGACGTGATACAAATATTTTTAAAGATCCATGGATCACCTCCTCCCCCGGTTTTACTATTCAGAGAACGAATCAGGAGGACAGGAGAGTTGAGGAGCTGATCAATCAGGATAGTCGGTCCTGGAATCTTTCAGGGATTGAATTTAGTCTTTCGGCTGAGGTCCAGCTAGCCATTTCTAAAATCCCGATAGGCTCCCAGGAGATGGAAGATTTCTGGGCATGGAGGTTCACGAATAATGGTGAGTTCTCGGTAAGATCTACCTATCGGGCCTTCCATGATGATATCCGATGGGGAAGTTCAGAAAGTTCAGGTATCTCACAAGAGGAGAAGGAAAGATGGAAATGGTTATGGAGCTTAAATCTCCCCCCGAAGGTCACCTTCTACATTTGGAAAGCGTCGAGAGGAGCCCTTGCTACAAAGAAGAACCTGTTTGAACGACACTGCTCAGGATCTAAGTCTTGCCCGTTGTGTAGTTCAGACGAGGAATCCATTTTTCATGTCCTGTTCGAGTGTCCTCATGCCATGGAAACTTGGACACGTCTCGCCCCCTCTCTCCCTCTCCCTCCACCCTCGGCAAAGGTAAACTTCTGGCTGTGGGAGGTTGGGGAAGCTTTCCCGGTCGAAGGTCCTCAAACTGCAATCTTTACCCTTTGGAATATCTGGAAAGCCAGAAATGAGATGATCTTCAGAAACAGGCCACCTTGGCCACAACGCACCATTTCCCAGGCAATTAATGAGTTCCTCTTCTGGAAAAACTGTCCTAAGAGAAGAATAGAGGAAACTGGATTGCCTTGTCGGCCTACTCCACCTCCTTCCCACCCCACACCACCGCCAAGTAATCACCACGAGGAGATTCACTGTGATGGATCGTATTTTGACGATTCTCGGGAGGCGGCATATGGGTTTGTTGTTCTGAATTCCCATGGTGAGGTTTGCGAAGGAAAGGCCGATTCCCTGCTCTACGATTCAGCTTTGGAAGCGGAAGCGGTAGCTATTCTTGAAGGCTGTAAGTTTGCCCAATCCCTCTCCCCGTCATGCATGATCAAGTCTGACTGCAAGGTATTGGTTGATGCGATTGCGGGGCCAAGACACAAGTGGCCTTGGATTGTTGCAGCACGTATTGACGCTATTCTTGACATTCTTCGGAGCCTCCATGATGTGAAGGTGTCGTTTGTTAAGAGAGATCATAATGTACTGGCAAACTGGGTTGCCCGATCCCGAGCAAAGAACCAGCTCCCGGGAGACTGGATTACAATCCTTAATGTTCTGCTACCAATCCTGTAACCTTTCTGTTTTATGGGTTTGCAGAGACTTACTAAAAAAAACAGATGATCAGGGAAAATGTCATAGTTATTGGGCCCGGCTCATGTGGCAGGGAAAAGGCCAACAAGATTGGCGGTGATAATTCAAAAAAAAAAAAAAAAAATGAATGGCAAGCAGATGAAGCAGGTGAACTCCCAACCAAATTCATTAATTTGGTTCCCTCTTCTTTTGCTATAAAAGGGACGTTGAGTTCCCTTTGGAAAGCATCCCATTTTTCCATCTTCATCATTCCTCTTTGCTAGCTCTCGGTTCTATTTCTTTCTTGTGGTTTCGGTTGTGAAACGTTTTCACAATCACGGGTAGATAGGAGATTTCCTTGTGAGTGAAATAGTGAGGTTGTTTGGGAAACACCGTGTGTTCTATTGCTTGTATCGAGAAAATCTCTGTAACCTATCATTGTTATAGTAAAGAAATACTCCGGAGCTGCTGTTCCCGTGGACTGGCCCAAAATCAGGGTATACCACGTAAATCCTCGGTGTCATTTATTATTATCTATGCTTGTTGCTATTTTGAGAATAGTCGTAGTATATTGCATTATTAAATTACCGAAGTAAATTGATCTAAGTAAGTTGGTTACCGTAATTCTGGAGGCTCTGCCACCAGGTCCAACTTATTTGTGAACTTTTTACAAGCGTGTGATTTCTTAGTGCAATATATTTACCCGCTATTCTCACCCGCTGCGCCCAACAAGTGGTATCAGAGCCACGTCCAATGGAGGCAAAAACAAGCAAGATGATAAGTCTGAATGGCTCCAACTATCACATATGGAGAAACAAGATGAAGGATCTCCTACTCGTGACGGAGTTGCATTTGCCGGTGTTTAGTCCAACTAAACCTGATGGCAAAACTGAAGAGGAATGGGAGTTCAAGCATGAGCAAGTATGTGGCTACATTCGACAGTTCGTCGACGATAATGTATACAACCACATTAGCGGAGAAACTCATGCCAGAACTCTGTGGAACAAGCTGGAGGCACTCTATGCATCAAAGACCGGCAACAACAAATTATTTTATCTGACCAAGTTGGTCCAGATGAAATACAAGGAAGGCAAATCCTTGGCGGATCACTTGAACGAAATTCAAGGGATCGTGGATCAGTTGTCCGGTATGGGCATAAAGATGGAAGATGAGGTGGTCGCTCTCCTCGTTCTGGCTTCCCTTCCAGAATCTTGGGAGACGCTAAAAATTTCACTTACCAACTCTGCAAAAGATGGAGTTATCAACATGGAGATCGTCAAAAGTGGGGTTCTAAATGAAGAGATGCGGAAAAGATCACAAGGTGCATCCTCATCATCTTCCCAGTCAGACCTTTTGGCGGTGGATTTCAGAAGCAGAGGAAGAAGTGAAGCGAGAGGCTCGAAGCAAAGAGGCAAGAGTCGAGGGAAGTCCAACAAGTTTGCCAATATCAATTGTCATCACTGCAAGGAAAAGGGCCACATAAGAAGATTTTGCCCAAAGTTCAGAAACGAGAGAAGGAAGGGCAAACGAGATGAGAACAGTGATGATGATGGTGCAAACTCCGTTGATGAGTTCAATATTGTCTACGAGGAAGATGTTGTCAACCTGACAACACAGGAGACAAGCTGGGTGGTTGATAGTGGTGCTACCATCCACGTGACGTCCAAGAGAGAATTTTTCTCATCTTACACACTAGGTGACTTTGGTGTGGTAAGGATGGGAAATGGCAACCTTTCCAAAGTTATTGGAAAAGGAGAAGTATGCTTGGAGACGATGAATGGTACAAAGCTACTACTGAAGGATGTCAGGCATGTTCCAGAAATGCGCCTGAATCTCATCTCTGTAGACAAGTTGGATGAGGAAGGTTACTGTAACACCTTTCACAATGGCCAGTGGAAACTCACCAGAGGCTCCTTGGTGTTGGCCAAGGGAAAGAAGCTGTCAAAGCTGTATGTGACGGAAGCCAAGATCTCCCCAGAGATTGTCAACTCAGCGGAGAATGGTGACATAATTGAATTGTGGCACAAACGGCTCGGTCACATGAGTGAGAAGTCCATGGCGAAGTTGGCACAGAATAAAGTCATAGTTGGGTTGGATCATGTTCATTTAAAGAAGTGTGTTGATTGCCTGGCGGGAAAGCAAAACAGAGTTGCTTTCAAAAGTTCCATCCCTTCAAGAGCGAAGAACGTGTTGGATCTAGTTCACTCAGATCTCTGTGAACCCAATGTCAACGTCAAATCACTTGGAGGTGCCAGATATTTCGTGACATTCATTGATGACCATTCACGAAAGACTTGGGTGTATACCTTGAAGACCAAGGATCAGGCCCTAGACGTTTTCAAACAATTCCTGGCCCTGGTGGAGAGGGAAACTGGCAAGAAGCTGAAGTGCATCCGGACTGACAATGGTGGAGAGTACAGAGGTCCGTTTGCTACCTTCTGCAAGGAACATGGAATTCGGCAGCAATTCACACCACCAAAGACGCCGCAATTGAATGGGCTAGCTGAGAGGATGAACAGGACCCTGCTAGAGAGAGTCAGGTGCTTGTTATCACACTCGAAGCTACCACAATCTTTCTGGGGGGAGGCACTGCTTGCAGCAGTTTATGTGTGGAACAGGTCACCCAGTGTGCCACTGAAGTATGACGCCCCAGAGAAGGTGTGGACAGGAAAAGAAGTTTCCTACAAACATTTGCGGGTGTTTGGTTGCAAGGCCTTTGTCCATATTCCAAAGGATGAAAGGTCAAAGTTAGATTCAAAGACGCGACCGTGCGTATTCATTGGCTATGGTCAAAATGAGTTTGGCTATAGATTCTTTGATCCAATCCAGAAGAAGCTTATCAGAAGCCGTGATGCTGTGTTCATCGAGAATGAGACCATCGAAGATGTTGTTGCTAGGAAAGAAATTCCTAGTACTGATGCTAGTCAGCCAAACCTTGAGCTAGTGCCTCCAACACCAGCGCCTACAGAAGTTGGAGAAGAAGCACAACATGATCAGCCTGAGATAGTTGAACCATATGCCCATGTGGAGGTTCAACCAGAAGATGCTGATGACGATGGTCAACCACCAGCCATAGAAGGTTCTCCTGTTCGAACAACAAGATCTGGTAGAATTTCACGACCGTCTACCAGATATCCCGAGACTGAATATGTCTCACTTACTGACGGCGGAGAACCAGAAAGCTTCACAGAAGCTATGAATGATGAACACAAGCAAAGGTGGATAGAAGCCATGCAAGACGAGATGGATTCCTTGTATGAGAACAACACATTTGAGCTGGTGAAGTTGCCAAAAGGCAAGAGAGCTTTGAAGAACAAGTGGGTGTTCAAGATCAAACATGATGAACACAACCGTCAGCCACGCTTCAAAGCCAGACTAGTTGTGAAAGGCTTCAGTCAAAGGAAAGGCATTGACTTTGACGAGATATTTTCACCTGTGGTGAAAATGACATCCATTCGTACTGTGCTGGGACTAGCAGCAAGTCTTAACCTGGAGGTTGAGCAAATGGATGTGAAGACTGCCTTCCTTCATGGTGATTTGGAGGAAGAGATTTACATGGAGCAACCAGAAGGCTTCAAGAAGAAGAACAAGGAGGGATATGTGTGCAGGCTCAGAAAGAGCTTGTATGGCTTAAAGCAGGCACCAAGGCAATGGTACAAGAAGTTTGAGTCTGTTATGGGGGAGCAAGGCTACAAGAAGACTACTTCAGACCACTGCGTGTTCGTGAAGAAATTTCCTGATGGAGATTTCATCATACTTTTGCTCTATGTGGATGATATGCTAATTGCTGGGCAGAACGTCTCAAAGATCAATGATTTGAAGAAGGAGTTGAGCAAATCTTTTGCCATGAAAGACTTGGGACCAGCAAAGCAGATTCTTGGCGTGAGGATCATTCGGGATCGAGGGTACCAAGAAGATATGGTTGTCACAAGAGAAGTACATTGAGAAAGTACTTCAACGTTTCAACATGGATAATGCTAAGGCGGTTAGCTGTCCTCTTGCTAACCACTTTACATTAACATCCAAACAGAGCCCGTCTACTGAGAAGGAAAAGGCGGAGATGGATAAAATTCCATATGCTTCAGCAGTGGGAAGTTTGATGTACGCCATGGTGTGTACAAGGCCAGATATTGCTCATGCAGTTGGAGTTGTTAGTCGGTTTCTTTCCAAACAGGAAAGGAACATTGGGAAGCTGTGAAGTGGATCCTCAGATTACCTTCGAGGTAGCTCCAAAATGAGTCTATGTTTTGGAGATGGTGAACCTGTCCTTGTTGGCTATACAGATGCTGACATGGCAAGTGATGTTGATTCGAGGAGGTCCACTTCTGGGTACCTGATTACCTTATCAGGGGGAGCAATATCGTGGCAGTCAAGGCTACAAAAGTGTGTAGCTCTTTCCACAACAGAAGCTGAGTATATAGCAGTAACGGAAGCATGCAAGGAGATGATATGGATGAAGAAGTTCCTGAATGAACTTGGGTTCCTACAGGAACAACCGCAGCTGTTCTGTGACAGTCAAAGTGCTATTCATCTTGCGAAGAATGCATCATTTCATGCTCGATCAAAACATATTGATGTTCGATATCACTGGATACGAGATGTGCTTGAAATGAAGCAGTTACAACTAGAGAAGATCCATACTGACGAAAATGGATCTGACATGTGTACCAAGACTCTTCCAAGAGAAAAGTTGGAGTTCTGTCGATCAGCTGCAGGGATGACGACGTCGCCCATGTAGTCGGGCGGGGGAGAATTATTGGGCCCGGCTCATGTGGCAGGGAAAAGGCCAACAAGATTGGCGGTGATAATTCAAAAAAAAAAAAAAATGAATGGCAAGCAGATGAAGCAGGTGAACTCCCAACCAAATTCATTAATTTGGTTCCCTCTTCTTTTGCTATAAAAGGGACGTTGAGTTCCCTTTGGAAAGCATCCCATTTTTTCCATCTTCATCATTCCTCTTTGCTAGCTCTCGGTTCTATTTCTTCTTGTGGTTTCGGTTGTGAAACGTTTTCACAATCACGGGTAGATAGGAGATTTCCTTGTGAGTGAAATAGTGAGGTTGTTTGGGAAACACCGTGTGTTCTATTGCTTGTATCGAGAAAATCTCTGTAACCTATCATTGTTATAGTAAAGAAATACTCGGAGCTGCTGTTCCCGTGGACTGGCCCAAAATCAGGGTATACCACGTAAATCCTCGGTGTCATTTATTATTATCTATGCTTGTTGCTATTTTGAGAATAGTCGTAGTATATTGCATTATTAAATTACCGAAGTAAATTGATCTAAGTAAGTTGGTTACCGTAATTCTGGAGGCTCTGCCACCAGGTCCAACTTATTTGTGAACTTTTTACAAGCGTGTGATTTCTTAGTGCAATATATTTACCCGCTATTCTCACCCGCTGCGCCCAACAATAGTCTCACAGAGCTATAATTTGACTCGAGACTTGGTAGTAGGCCTACTGGCCCACTGCAGTAGTAGACCCAAAGCCCAAACTCACCGCTCCTCTGAAAAACTGAAAACGCGACTGCCCGAAAGCTTCCCTTATCCGAAAACTCACCGCATCCATCCTTTCCCTTCCTTTCAATCACAGAATTTGGTCCCTGGAAAGAAAACCTTCGCTCCGAAAATGTTGCCCGCTGCAATTCAATCCGTCGCCAATGGCGCTTCCCCATTCTCCTGTTCCCTCCTTCCTCAGACTCCCACAACGACTGCATTCAAATCCACGACCCTAGCCCTCCCAAAACCTTCTCCAAAACGACATTTGTCCTCCGCTCTCCATCGAAAGCGGTTCTCCGCATTCGCTGCGCCCGAAGCGGTGGCAGCTCCGCCAGAAGAGGACGAGAAGGAAGTAGCAGTTGCGCAATCGTTTGACGAAGTAAGCGATTGAGAATTGCTGCACAATCTTGTTTCTGTCTCGTTGAAATTGAGTGTCTGATTACTGGTGGGTATTCTTTTTGGGGATTTCTTGATTGGCAGATAAATGAGGTGGTGGTGAACCAAGCGACGAAGCCTCGATTGGTGCTGAAGTTCATATGGATGGAGAAGAACATTGGGTTGGGGCTGGATCAAGTCATTCCTGGACATGGCACGGTTCCACTGAGCCCTTACTTCTTCTGGCCTAGGAAAGATGCTTGGGAAGAGCTGAAGACGACTTTGGAAAGCAAGCCCTGGATTTCCCAGAAGAAGATGATTATACTTCTCAACCAGGCTACGGATATCATCAACTTGTGGCAACAGAGTGGTGGCAATCTCACTGCTTGACATTCCAGACCTCCTCCTCCTCCTGGTTAGTAGCCAAAATCTGTGGGGGTGGACTTTTGTAATTCGTTATTGTTGTCTGTAGATTGTAATAGAGATTGGTTTAGTAATGCCAGTGGTGGCCTGGTTGCTCTTTGCACTTTTGTTTGGGGTCTGAAAGCTGTTCCAGTTTCCTGTGTAACTGATGCAATGTCCTGATGGCTGAACTGCCATGGTTTTGGTAATTGTGAAGTGTTCAGTCAGGATGCATTCATTGTTGCAAGAAACCCGACTTGTGAACAGGTTACGAACAAGAGTGCAGGATTGATTGAGCTATAGCCATTGAAGTAGTTGCTGCAGATTTTTCACCAACCAGACAAATGCTTGTAGAGGCAACTATCCCATACAAACGGTATATGTGAATAAGAATAACTGCATACAGCAAGCGACAGGGTTTTTCCATGCTGGATTTAAAGACCTGATGTGGTCTTCAGAACATTTCCCCTTGCAGCAAGGCGATCTAGTTATGGCGAAGGGGTTTCATAGTTTCTTCAAAGGTTAGGTATCCTTACATACGAAGTACATATGCGACACTGTAAACCAGTTATGAAACTGACGGGGTTAGCACTTAGCAGTTCAAGGTGTAGCTAGAAGAACGTTATGATACCGTGATGATATATATTGGGTTAGTCATTAATACATTGTTTTTGGCGATCAGGCGTCTCCCCCTGACCCTGCTGAAAGGGAACCTGTAAATGGCGCCAAAAATTCTCAATCACTGCAGAGCCTTCTTGAAAAGCCTCCGTACTGCACAATTAGGACTTAGGAGGAACATGTCCCTGTATCGCATGGTAAAGGAAACCGGATCGTACCGGCCGGTTGAACCGGTAAAACCAGAAAACGGAGCACGAACGAACGAAATACCATCCGGTTTTGGTCTAACCGGGGGCAGAGTAATTGAAAGAAAGCATCGTCGTATTACGGTATTAGCAAAAAAAAACGAAGTTAAAATGTCAAAACCATAATCAATAGAAAGAAAGACAGCCGCCGCGTTCTGTTTCTTCTTCCCAGTTCTCCAGCAGTTCTCCTCTTCTTCTTCAGTTCAATCCGGCGCTCCTCTTCTCCATTTCTCATCTGGCGACCGGCGACCAGGAGGAACCGCCAAGCCCTTGACCAGCGACCGGCGGCAAGGCGACGCTCCGCGGTCCCTGCTTTGTTCCGCTCCACCGACCGCCGACCTAATTTGCTCCTCTCCGGCGCTCCGTTGCTCCTCTCCGGCCTCCGCTTCTCCTCTACGCCGCTCTGTTGCTCACCTCCGACCTGATCAGTGCTTTTTGGTTTAATTGACCTTCATCTCCACCGCCGACCAGCGTTTCCAGAAAACCCAATAGAAAAGAAATCAGAATTTAGAACATCGGCGAATATCAAAATAAAACAAGCATGTAGGCTGAATTTCACCTTGATCAGTGCTTTTTTGGTTTAATTGACCCTCCAACTCCCTTCCGCGAATCACCGTGGTTGGCCGCCGTATTTTCTCTTCCTGGATGCGACGGCATGGCAAGCAAAATCTGGAGGGATTCATCATCGTTAGCGGGGATTGGACGGCGAAGGCTTGGAGACGGTAGATTCGGGTGGAAAATTGCCATATCCTCCCATCTTTGATTCGCCACTATCAATCTCTAGTCGACGATGTTATTGAATAGAGACGGAGAGGAAGAGGATAAGTCGGAGAAGGAAAATGAAAATGAGGAAGGAGAGATGGGATAAGTGAAAATGAGGAAGGAGAGATGTGATAAGTGAAAAGAGGAAGGTTTATTAATTTATCAATATTTTTAAATTTTTATTAGTTTTTTTAGTATCGGATAAGTGCTAACTACTTGTATTTATTCATTTATTATCCGGTATATTCCGATACATCCGGTATTATTTCGAGACGATACCCTAATTTTGGCGGCACGGTTTTTTGATAAAAAATATATTTTATTATTACAAAAACGGTATTTACCGATACAAAACGGTTGAATCACGGTCGTACCACAAAATATCATACCAGAAAAGAATCCGGTATGATGTCCGGTACGGTTTCCTTTACCATGCTGTATCGTCGCTGGTAGTGGTTACCGGTGAAATGAAATCCCGATGGGCTGAGGATTGCTACCCAACTTAACAATGGGCTTACCAAGTAGTTTGCTCGCGTAAAGGCGCTCAGCCCACTCTTTGCCCATTTGACAAGGGTTTAGAAACTTCAAATATAAAACGCACGGTCGTTCCTCTCATTCACGCACTTTCTCGTCGTCGTATCAAGCAAGTTTCCTTCCCCGATATCTCTCTGCTCACTGCCGTCGTCGTCTTCCCCAAAGTTTTTCCCGCGCATTTCCTCTAGTTCCACCGCTCGGCAGTCGGCAATGGCTCCCAAATCCGATAGCCCCGAAGGTAAACTGAAATCACCATCTGTACCTGCATCTCTTGATTTCGTTTCCTGTTCCCTTTCCTTCTTCAATCAATGTCGATTGCTAGATTCAAATCTTTTTCCGCCTACTTTGCTTCAAAAAGCAAATTAATATCGATTCTCTACGATTTACTGACTCTTTGAATTCATTTCTCGTCTATTTCGCAGCAATCGTGCTCAAATTCGTTAACCAGGTAACCTATCTTTTTGCTTTTTATGGTTTTTCTTCTTTTGAATCTTCCTAGTTCATTCTTAGTTGACGCTGTGTTTAGGTGTATTGATGTATTTCTTCTTTTGAATCTTCCTGGTGATCGATGTATTTCTTCCAATCAAATTGGTTAGGGTTTCGACTGTGTGAAGTATTAGTACTCAATTGAGGATTCAAACCTGTTGGTGCAATTGCTTGGTGTCATGAAGTAGCTCAGACGGTCATGGAAGCCGATTTTGCGTCTGAGAATCCTAATTCGGTTTTGCTGTATGTGTTTGTCTGTAGCAAAATCGGCCACTGAATTCTCAGATTGTAGCGGATTCATTACAAAAGGACAACCTCAAGAAGACTGCTGTACAGAAAGCACTGGATACTCTTGTGGATACTGGGAAGATTTCGTTTAAGGAGTACGGCAAGCAGAAGATATACATAGCTCGCCAGGACCAGTTTGAGATCCCAAATGCTGAAGAGCTTGCTCAGATCAAAGACGATAATGCTATGTTGCAGCAGAAACTGGGTGAACAGAAGAAGGCAACTGCAGAGGTCGAGGCAGGTAACTGTTTAGATTTGCTTCTTCTTCCTTCGCGAAACCTGTTTCTTCAGCCTTCCATTGTTGAGTTTCTTAGTGCCTGCATTGTGATGTTACCCAGAACCATTGGAGTTTGTTCAGCTTTTCTACACCTGGGTTTTAGTTCCACTAGTAGACCTGAATCAGCGTGTACTTATGAATGCTGATTTATTGCAGAAATCAAGGCTCTAAAGTCGAATCTAACACTGGACGAGATTCGGGTCGAAGAAGCCGTACTAAAGAAGGAGGTTAGTCATACTACTTACTAGTGCTTTTTATCATCTTATGGACTAGTTAGTTAAAAGTTGAACTAAATTTGAGCCCATTGCATGTTCTTTTGTTTTGGTCTCAGGTGAAGGAAATGGAAGAAAAATTGTTGAAAATGCGTGGGGGAGCTGCCTTGGTGAAGCCAGAGGAGAGGAAAGCTGTTGCTGAAATGTTTAATGATAGATTGAGTCAGTGGAGAAAGCGTAAAAGGATGTTCAAAGATCTGTGGGATGCCATAACTGAGAACTCACCTAAAGATCTGAAAGAATTTAAGGTTTTTAACCATACAAGTAGTTTGTGGCTTTCCGAGCATATTGTTTCTATGCGATCAAAACATTTATAAAAGATGATTGTGTTGCAGGAAGAACTTGGCATCGAGTATGACGAGGACGTGGGTGTAAGTTTGCAGTCATTCAGTGATCTGCAGCAGCCCGCTAACAAGCGACTGAGAAGCAAGTAATTATCAGCAGTTCCATAAAAGTTTTGACTTCAAAACGTCTTGGTCTGTTTCCTGACTTAAACGTCATATCAACTATGTAGATTCTTTATACTGCCTAAGCCACGCTTTCCTCCTGTGTTCTTCTGCAGACTTTCCTGTTTATAGACGTTGATCATCGTAGTGCTGTTATTCAATTTAGTAAGTACCATCGGTAGTTTGCCACATAAGTTCATGTATGGCTGCTCTGCAAAACCTATTGCATATTATAGTTCATGTAATGTGGAATGTTTCTTCCCATGGTGGAATGTCGATTCTCTGGCATGATCTTTCCTGCATTTTTCATTATCCTTTCCCTACCAACCTGGTACATTATACTTACAACGACTCGAAATGAACAAAGCTTTATGAACAAAGAGTCGAACAAACAAAAAACATCAAAAAGCTACTGAACTGTGCACAAATCAACACTTCAATTATTCGGAGCAACCTGCAAAATTTTGTACTTCCGACGAGTAAGGTTCTCAGTATCCACGAACGTTCCTGGTCCTCACAGAAAACGGTGCCTTGAGTATGTTCAAGGCCCTCGTAGTTCTTGATTCCCTTGAAGCTGGTTGTTGTGCATTAGGGTATACATCTACTGATTCCACCTTCAACCCAGCTTGAATAACAGAGGGGATAATATTCTCACTGGACTTGGCACGTGGTGGTGCCTCGTGACCTTCAACCTTGTCAGGATCGTCGGCATTCATGATCCGCTCTTCAGTCTCCTCCTCATCGTCACTTTCATCATCAAACTGAATCTTCTTGTCCAACCTCCTGGCTAGATTCTCAGGATCCAGACTCGAAGAAGACGACTTCGATTCTGAAGCAGCAGCTGTGCTTTCAACATAATAGACTGTTTCCTCATCTTCAGGTTCAGGTTCAGAGTCTTTCATTTCCTCATCTTGGCTCATCATCACTTCCCTTCTCTTATCATGGTTGTCAGGGTGACCTCGATCATCGGATCGAGAGAGTTCAACTGCAGCTCTTGCTGCTTCTGCCGCATAAACAGCTGACTCAAAGGCTGCCTGAGCTGCGCCAGCCACATCTTTGTACTTCCCGTTCACTGGAATCGAATCAGCAAGACCATCTCTCCCAATCTCTTCTGCTGCTATGCTGCTCGCGTTATTAGCCCCAGCTGCTGCTGCTGCCGCCAATGTCTCTCCTTCCTCGCCTTGCTTACTGCTCACGGCATAGGGTTCTGCCTGAGATGTTAAAGGTGGTTGATCTAGTTCCTCCAAGACGATATTGTTCTCTGCTGCAATCTCTCTCAGCACCTTGATTCTGGTCTCCCTGTCTGGCTGCCTAGTAGACATCTTCTGTATCATCTGCACAAGGATTCAGTTTCGAGTTATATCGACCATATAACCAAACCAATCAGACAGTATGGATTGAGAAGACACATGTGAGAGAGTACCATAGATAGATACATACCCTGTAGCTAACACCACAATTGTTGCGCAATTCAACAGCGCGAGCAGCGAACTCCTTCCCGTAGCGAGAGGTGAACAGAAGACGAATCTCTTGAAGCTCAGGGAAATCGCCGCACCTGGAAGATGCAAAGAGCAAGCTCGATATCGCCTCCTTCAGTTCATCGGGGCACACCCTGGAAATATATGCATACAGAAGAACCAGTTAGTCGAAGTGGGATGAAAAAAACGACATGAGCCGTACTTGTCGGAAACAAACTTAACCTTTGTTGTTCGATGAGATGAAGCCGCTCGACGAGAAGGTTACAGTAACCCTCCATCATTGCATAGACTTCCAGCATGCCCTGCTCCTTGATGACATGCTCGACGCGGAGGAGGGCGCGGTCGTGGTGACGGAGGCGGAGGAGGTCGACGACGTCGGAGTGAGCGTGGTTGAGCTTGACCTGGCGCTGGTTCTTGAAGATGGCGAGGCGGGAGACGGCGAGGTTGGCGAGTGCTTTGAACTTGTAGGACTTGAAGTTGTTCCTGCCCAGAATTGCGTCCAGCTTTCTCCCCATGGTTTCGGCTTTCGCCTCTAACTTTGCCTTCCCCTTTTTCTCCCGAGTCTTGACAGACAAACGAGAGAGAGAGAGAGAGGCGGCGGGTAAGCAGGAGGTGGAGGAGGCGCCGCCGGGAAGGAGTGAAATGAGTCGGTTAAATTGTGGCAGGGAGTGTTGTTGTGTTGGGTTCTTATAATTTGATGAAGGGAGAAGGCAGAAAGATGGGTTTTTTTGGTGCGTGTAAATAGTGTAACATGAACGCCCGTTTTTTATTTTGACAAAGATAAATAGTAATAGGTGGGAAAAAACCAAAAAATTTAAGTGCCCTATGCATATTTGGTAGTGATGTGGCATGTTGACAGTTAGTCAACGCTTTTGACTGTCTAAGATAACGACCAAATCTTGAGTTTGGTCAATTTCGTAACTTTTATGCATAGTTGAGATCAAAATATTATAGATTAAAAAGGGCTAAATTACACGTTTGGTCACTCAAATTATACAAATCTTTCACATTTGCCACTCGAATTGCTTTTCTTTCTTATTCGCCACTAACTTTACGAATCGTTTCACGTTAGTCACCGGCCGTTACACTCCGTTAAATTTATCCTACGTGGCAGTCAACTATAAAGTTTGACCGTTAACTCGATGACGTAGAAATTAAAAAATAAAAAAAATTAAATTTATTTTTCCACCTCATCATCCCACTTACTTTGTTAAACGCAAGGAAGCATCTCGATACCTCGACGGAAGCACCTGGCTGCTCCTCCCTCTTAGATTTCGATCCCGCCACTGCCGGCTGCCGCCTCCGTCCTCATCTCATTCTTGTCCCTGTACAAATCCACCACCCAACACTTGTTACTTCTCTTCCTCTTTGTCCCCCGCAACGCAATTCGTCCACCGCCGCGTCCCATAATCGACGGCGAATGAGGCTCTGACTCATCATCTGTCTCCTCCGCGGCAGTCGTCGGCATCTCGTTCGGATCCCAACTGGTCGACGACAACAATCGTCACCGGAAGCAAGCTCCGCAGCTTTAATCAGGACCGTAAGCCGACGATCGGTGATTCCGACTACTCTAATTCCCTCGTCAGCACGCCGACTGTCGTTTTGTAGTTCTTTCCCTTCCTCCCCACCTCCTTCTTCGTCACCAATTCTGTTGATGTCGATCCCTCTGCTTTCGTTGATTCACAGATTCATAGCTTTCAGAGCCTCTACTGGCGGAGAAAAATCACCGCCGTCGCCGTCCTTATTACTAATTGGATCGAACTTACCCTCAGAGCTCTTCCGATCAACAACCGCCGCTGAATCACCACTACCAGCATTCACTGCCTCGTTTACCTCCCCCCCCCCCCCCCCCCCCCCCCCCCCCCCCCCCCGCCTAATACGCAAGGATTGAATTCCCTATTCAAATCAATACCCAACCCACAGAAGAAGCAACGGGAAAATTAAATCAGCCCAAACCCAGAAAGAAGGGAGGTAAAGGGGAGAAAAATGGCACCCATCACCACCTTTTTCCTCCGCCTCTGTTCATGTCTAAACCTTCTAATCAACCCATCACCTTGGCTACTCCAACTCCATGTTCACCATTCCTCCTTCTCGTCGTCTTCTGATCAGCGGTGGCAAATCTCACCGGCGTCGCCGCTCACCCTTTCTGCTGTCGGAATGGGATCCATTTTTCCTGATGTTTATTGCTCTTCAATTCCTCAGCCACATGAGGTTAATTGCAGTTCGCAGCTTTATGATGCATCTCCAGTGGCACCTTTAATTCTGATGGCTGGCTGGCTGGAGAAGAAGAAGACTATTTTCTTCTGTTCATCGGAGGGCCCATAAAAACTGTGTGTATGTAGCACATAATTTTAGTCTCTTTGCTTTTATCCCCCGTTTCTTTATTTATTTTTCCGGTCATTTTTTTAATTTATTAAATTATTAATATGATAAATTATATAGACAAAATAAGTGCAATGATGAGGTGGAAAGAAAAATTTATTTTTTTTATTTTTTTTAATTTCCACGTCATCTAGTTAACGGTCAAACTTTATAATTGACTGCCACGTAGGACAAATTTAACGGAGTGTAACGGCCGGTGACCAACCGTGAAACGATTCGTAAAGTTAGTGGCGAATAAGAAATAAAAATAATTCGGGTGGCAAACGTGAAAGATTTGTATAATTTGAGTGACCAAACGTGTAATTTAACCGATTAAAAAGATTGATCATAATATTTAATTTGTTAAAAGTTTCGACCCATGCAAATATATTACCTAAATTACTTTAACCAAAAAAAAAAAATAGTCGCTCTCTATGTCTATTGCCTAACTTCTTCTTTCATGGCCCCAGAGTTATCAAAAGTCCACACAAGCATGCACCCGCCACCAAATTTCGTGCCATTTTGCGTATGGAATTAGTTTAATTTAATTTTCCACAGTAATCATCCAGAACAGAGTACGCAGCGTTCCTCGCAATTTGAAAAGCCTTCCTCTTGGCTAAATTAGACGTTTGGTCAATCAAATTACTAAAATTTTTCACGTTTGCCACCCGAATTACTTTTCTTTCTTATACGCCACTAATTTTACGAATTGTTTCACCGTTAGTCAACGACCGTTACACTCCGTTAAATTTGTCCTACGTGGCAGTCAACTATAAAGTTTGAACCGTTAACTAGATGATGTGGAAATTAAAAAAATTATAAAAAATAAATTTATTTTTCCAGCTCATCATTCCACTTACTTTGCATATGATTTATCATATTAATTATTTAATAAAAATTAATTAAATTAAAAAACTAATTTTGAACGACGTTGAGGAGGAGGATCATCCGGCTGTGACTGTGATCGGAATATCCACAATCCCAATCGGGAATGATAATAATTTTTCTCTCCCTCCGGTGCTATTCATCGGCGATTCAAAATTCCAATCGGGAATAATAATAATTTTTTAAAGTAGACAAATTAAAATCTGACCGAATTATCCAAAATCCCGATGGGCTTTTCTTTCTTGCTTGCAGATCTGAGAATTCAAACGCTCCCTCGCTCGATCCATTGCTAGAGCAACAGGAATCATCGGAGTAGAGCCGATCAACTTCCTCCTCTGCATCCGCCACCGCCGCACTAGGGCTTGTAGAACATCTCTCGATCTCTCCACTCTGGCAACCGGAACTTGAATCACCTGCTGTCGTGCTAGTCGCCGAGTGGTATCCTCCACTCGTAAATTCGTGTTCTCAGGCTCTGGCGGCGTCGTGGTTGTGGAATTTTCTCCGCTTGGTGGGAGGAGCAGAGGAGGAAGGGGGAGGGGAATTAGGCGTGGAAGAGAAAGAAGCTAAAGAGAAAGGGCGAGGTCTTGTCGTGACGCCGACGCGAGCAATTTGCGCGACTGACTGACATACAGTGGGAATGGCGTTTTGCTGCTTCTTCTTCACAATCTCATTTGTCCGCTTGAGAACTCCTTAAGCAACCGTCGGCATTCCGCTGTACGGCTGCCGCGAAATTCCTGTACTTGCTCAGCTCCGCCGTGATCTGCTCTTGTGATTTCAGCGCATCGTCTTTTTCGCTCTTCGCTTGGTCTCGCTCTCTGATGCACTCGTATCGCTTCTGGATTGCCTCCTGAGCAACTTTCCATACTCGACTGAACTTCTTCCCTACCTCTTCTTTCGAATCCTCCGCTGCTCGTCGAGTCGCCCGCTCCCGATCGTGTTACGCCAAGAGCTCCCTGTACCATCTCGACGGAGACATGTTCTAGTATGAGGATATTCCCGATCACAGCCGCAGCCGGATGATCCTCCTCCTCAAAATTATTTTTTATTTATTTTTACTAAATAATTCATATAATAAATCATATAGACAAAGTAAGTGGAATGATGAGTTGGAATAATATTTTTTTTTAATTTTCTTAATTTTCACGTCATCTAATTAATGGTCAAACTTTATAGTTGACTGCCACGTAGATAAATTTAACGGAGTAACGGTCGGTGACTAACGGTGAAACAACTCGTAAAGTTAGTGACGAATAAGAAAGAAAAGTAATTCGAGTGGCAAACATGAAATATTTATGTAATTTGAGTGACCATACGTGTAATTTAGCCCCTTCCTCTTCCTCTTCCTCCATTTCATTTTCCAGTTTTCCTTTCCTCTCTCTTTCTCTATCAAAACTCGAAAGAGAGAGATCAATTATTCAGCCCTACATACATTGATTATCAAGTATTTTTAAAATTCTTCATGCACGAAATTCAGTACTTAAACAACCTAGCTACCAGATCCTGGCAAGACCATTCCCTTGCCCTTAAGCTTCTCTTTTTTTTTTTTTTTTTCTATGGCATTCTAGGAATACCTTGATGTATTATTACGTACAAGAAACATGCATCTTATGTATATACGGTTTATCCCTCCTTTTATAAACAAATCCTGATTGTGAAATACTACTAATTTCCATGCCTTTTGGTTTTTTTCTTTTTTAATACCGTATATATTATGAAACACGCCTTGTTGATTACAACTTTTAATTTCAAAAACAGGTGTCAGGGCGTATTTTCTGGATATTGTGAAATGCGACTGGGTGCTTCAGAGCTGTGAAATTCAATGACTGGCTGGGTGCTTTAGATCTTCTGTTTCATGAACAAACCAAAAATACAAAAAGTTTACAGTCATGTGACAAGAGAACGTTGGCAGTGGATAAATGGATTTACACATCTCTACAACTCATCGACTAGCAAACTTGTATTCAATAAGTCTTGGCATTGAATGTTTCAATTTTCTCATTTGCAGGCTCAGAGTATCTGGTAGACACTCGCCAGCTCGTGGAGGTGATGTAGATACAATCTACAATTGATGTAGCAACATCCTGGGCACAGGAGACTTCAAGAATTCATAGCCACTACTGAAGGAAGAAGACAACAAACTTGACCATTGACGTTTATATATCGACGAGACTATTGCAATCCGACCCAATCAGTAAACTAGAAGTACACTCAAGACGCCGCCATTTCTCTTGGTCGAGTATACTAGAGAGATTGGACATCGTGGTTTACTCCTTAGTTTGTGAGCAATGTAATTAGGAACAAACAAAGACAGTATTTCAGTGTTAGTGGACAGTTCAATTTGTTAGTATAGTAATTACTGTGTAGATTAGCTGTTTATTTGTTCATCATTATGTAACTATACTCTGTATACTTATGAGAATCAGAAAACAAAGAGCTTCTTCTCTCGCGACGTATTTGCATGTACAGGTGCAACAAGGTTTCTCCAAGCCCGAATCTAAGGATGACTCAAGGCACAAAATCAACCCGTTCATCAAAAAGTCAGCCAAAGAAAATTCCTATCGACTAGGATTAGTATTAACACCATTCTAATAACTTGGATGCTAGCAAGTAACCTTGGGCAGCAGAACTATAAAAAAGACTATTCCTTTGACGTTCAGCCAGAACTTAAAAAGGACTATTCCTACAGGAAGTTGTTGGACTGGACTACTGAAACCGATTTCGTTGGTGTCGGATCACTAAAGTAACTTAAGCACAATCTCTAATTCACTAATTCAATCTCCACTCAACAGCTAACCCTACAATCTAATACATCTCATCAGTCATCAACACTTCAATTCAATTGTGGGACAATTTCTTCAATGGGGCAACTTTACCTGTATACCTTATACTTTCAAACATCAGACGTCATACCACCTAAAGTTAAAGTACAGGGTTTGGTAGGAATACTTCACAGTGGAGAAGCATCAGAAACACCTGGATCCATGGACCATGCTATTATATAGCATGGCTACTGAACACAAATGTTCAACCACCAGTTCTCCCACATTTTCCCCTTGTTCTCTGAGGTCAATAACCCATTTTCCACTTTGCGCAGACATTTTACTCTTTCAATTGCTTACACCATGATAACACCACAACACAAAGCACAGACACCCACCAGAGACCTAATGGCACAAAAATGCAACAAGACCACGCCAATTTGGTACATCGACAATATCAAATAGACTATTGAAAGGCATCAGGTAGTCTAAGTTAGGCACCCTACTTCATTAAGCAAAGCAGGGCACAATTGCACAAACATAGACTAGTTGCCTAAGGCTGAAGAAAACATATGGGAGACTTTAAATTTTTCAAGGCATACAGTCCTAGCATACAAGCAGATGAAAATCGTAGACATGAAGGCTAAGGAAAGCAACATGAGATGCCATGCCAGTTTGCAGGTATGAGAAACTCAATCAGGGTGGAAGAAAATGCTAAAAATATCAGCTTTTATTGATATTCTAAAACAAAGATACACAATTACACGAAGTCAAGATCAAAACAAAGGGGGAATATTTAAATGCACCCCGAACCAATGTACCATCATGTCCATACATCAACCTTTTCCTTCAACAGTCTCGCAGAAGACTGAAGCAACGACACTCTCGCATAAATATATTGAGCAGACAGAAGCATATCTGAGCTTAAAACATAGATCTGATATAGCAGTCAATCCAACCTATTACCTTAAATCAAGGGTCCATTGCAAAAACTGTGGTGAGCATGAATGGGTTGAGCAAACAGTCATCTCTAACACTAATCTGATAACAAACCCTATGTGCTGTTTCCCATGAATCTGATGTTTAATCTCCCCAAATGGTGTGGAACCAGAGGATGAAACACAACCTGTCGCACTAATGAGTTGTAACAGTCACCCCTCTTTGCCCTAGTACACACCTCTTGTTTCCTACATTTGGCAGTCTTAACACTATCAGAAGTCCAGCCTTTCTCATGATTCAGTGGAAACCGCTCGCAAGAAAGCAAGACTACAGACATCCTGTTCTTAAAGTGAGATAAGTTATTACCTTTTTTCCAATCTGACAATAAAACAAAGTGGACTAAAGTTTGAAGCCCCTACAGATTACAGAATAAAACCTGCTGATCCGGTTTCTTCCATACCTTACAAACACTGGTCATCAACCACCTCCAAGACAAAACATCCAATCCCCTTGAGCTCATTTAAGGACTACAGTTTGAAGCCACTACAGAATAAATTATGGAAGACAAGAAGTGAAACTTAAATAGGCCAAATACAATTTTGAACATGTTCTTGACTCATCTAACAATCGCAGAGCCAATCAACAAATAGACACTGCTGAACCTCTGACTCGAAAGCATAATTATTCAAGCCCCTAAAACTTGATCAAATATAAGCTTAAAATAACGGGTAAGCTACTTTGAATATTACACAATGGCAAAATAGGGCTTTAAGGTAAGAACTAATCACCTGTCACTGCTTAGCTTAAACTTAACTTCCTTCAAAATACCAAATACTAATCACTTATTTTGATATTTTAACCAGCTAGGTCTAAATATAAAAAATATACAACTTAAAATCATAACCAAGAGGCATTGAAGTAACTAGCAATTCGGCTGTGCTGTTAATCACTCCACACGAGGGTCACCAACCTTCAACCATTGTTGCGTCATGCGTGTAACTTGTTAGGAATTATATAGACCCATAAAAGCATGCATGCATCCAATCGCACAAGGCTGAAGCAAAAGCTGTAACATATAACAAGTCCTCCAGAGAAAAAGGCCAAGTTAAACTGGAGTACTTGGCAAATCGAGAATCAAGACCTGGCTCCTAACGGGTTACTCATGCACCATGACTAGCAATGCAGATCAGGATCAAAGTAATAATCAAATATGCAGCATAAACAATCAACTCACCAAACAAAGAACAAGAATTAAGATTCTTACAAGAGAATCATGATGATAAAGATAGCACCCTACAAGGAAAGTAACGAGTAGATTAGTACGTGAGGCATATCTATACGGAATTGAAGTCTAACAGTGACAAATGGATAACTTACTGTGATTTTCCACAGGCTGCAGCAGACCATCTACGAGCATGTGCCTCCAAATTACCAAAAGACAATGAATCAGAAGTATGCAAGTCCATCATAACAAGAACAATAGCAGATAAACAACTAAAGCAGATCAACACAACGAGTACCTAAATTTTTTACTGATTGCTTTCACTTGACAGAAAACATAGATCCTAGCCCAGGTATCCAAAGTCAAAGAATAAGGTACCAACAAGAGCAACAACAATCACACAAAAATCTTGCATTCAAAAAAAGCAAACTGAGGAAATCTAGCACTACACAGAGGAATGAAACCCCAAAATAAAAAGTAAATCCACTAAACATCGTACAAAGAACAGCAAAAATTCAGACACAAGCAGCAGCCGACGAGTACAAGGATAAAATAACACATACTAATGCCAAGTATATTTAAAGGATCTCAACGTTGTTGAGACTACAATAGCAGATAATCTAAGATACCTTCTCCTGGGTTCCTCTATGCATCTAATCCCTGGAGTTTGCCACAAAGCAGAGGAAGATGTCCTGAACGAAAAATTGAATTAGCCACTCAAGGATCATAACTTAATGATAAAAAAAATGACAGATCTGTATAGGAATAGCTACAGAGCAAAGAGAAGTAAAAAACAAAAAAAGATGGAAATACATCACAGCCTATCAAGAACTTATATTATTGGTATAGCAGAAGTACTAGAGCAACTCCAAAGACTAAAACAACTGTTCGGATTTGTACCAGCCAAAGACTCTTGTCAAAATACGTTAGATTACTAACTCAGACAATCCAGATCATTTCTCCCCTTATTATATCTTTCTGCACATCCAGCTGTGCCAATCGAAATACAAATACAACTATAATAGAGGAGTCAAGATCAGCTATGAAGAAGTCCCCACTACGTTCATAATCAATAAAGATTACAAGAGGTGAAAGAAAACAAACGCCTATGGCGAGTTGTCTTACAATAGAAACAGTACATTCCCTTGAAAGAACCGCCAGCAAAGTGTACTTCTGACCAAACATCACCACTTGCGAAGCCAGATATCGTCCAGAGCTCATAGATACCCTCATAGAAGATAAAGACAGATAATGCCAAATCATTAGCACTGAAATTAGGATAGGTGGCAATATACAAACATCAATGCAACGGCATTTCTGGAGTCAGAAAAGCAGCAACATGGTTTCACTTGCCAGTGATAAATGGATGGTTTAATGCCTGAGAAACTGTCATCCTCTTCTCGGGATCCAAAACAAAAATCTTTTCCAAAATGTCTTTAAAATTGGCCAACATCTTTGGATCCTCACCAGGAGAGCCTTTAACAATTGACCCTATATCCTTAGGCTTTACATTCACAATCATCCTCTTCATTATCTGGAAATAGTAGCTCAAAATCTTAGCAAGCTCAAAAACAACACAGTCGACAGCAACCAACTTAATTTAGAAAAAAGCCATTCCAGCATACCTTGTTACTCACAGGATCTTGTTCTGTAGTATGAAAATTCAAGTCCAGGTCAAAATGTTGATCAACAAATGCACCCTGCAAGATCGTCTAAATGCATGAAGATCATTTACAGTTAAGGGAAGCAGCTCAAAGACAACCTACTGGATCAACTCATACCAGGAAAGCAAGGAATCATACACCACTAACTAAAGCACTCTCACTCGGAAACAAAGCACTCTCACTAAGGAGGTCCAGATAGAAGCACAAGTAAGAATAACAAGAGTCCATGTCTACTTATACCAAAAATCCCACCTTCTTAAGCATCTTCTTGGGAAAAGGGCCCTTCAGTTCCATGTGCAGTCGCAACATATCGTTATTAGTTTGACCAGGAAAAAGAACTTTTCCAGTATAAAGCTCATATAGACAGCAACCAACGGACCAAATATCCATAGGGTGATCATATGACAAACCGAGAACTGCAAAATGAACGGTTGAAACTGAGACATCCAAAAAGTAAAACACAATTTATAATACATGCAAAGCAGAGCCTATTCAAGCACAAGATGCAGCCAAACATGCACACAAAGATAGCTTACTGATTTCAGGAGCACGATAAAAACGGCTGACAAGGTATGGGGTAATTTCATTTTTTCCGGAAAACATGGCATTGCCAAAGTCACAAAGCTTCAGCACATTTTTTGCCTCATTCACCTGCAGAATGGTATGGAAAATATAGTAAATAGCTAGAATGGACAGCAGATTCTAGGAGAGTCGGACCAGGAACAAACTGAACATACCAGCATATTGTCCGGCTTTATATCACAATGAAGAACACCACAGTTTCTTAGATGCTTCAACGCAATGAAAAGCTGTTTCGCGTACGCCCTTACAGCTGTTAGTTTAAGCCCAATATTGCGACCAAACTTTTTTAGGACCTCGCGAAGATTCATATGAAGAGACTCAAAAACCAAACAAGTATGATTTCTGTACTTGAAATGCGAAAGGAACCTAACACAGTGGCGCCTATTCTCCAAATCTGCACCAGCTAATTTGTTTAAAATTGAAACTTCAACCTGACCAGCCTTGTTCCTGCACGAAAGGACACGACATAGAAGTTAGCAAAACAAAGAGCAAATATTGTTTACAACTAAATTTTACGTCTATTTCTAGAAACTAACTTACATTGTTTCATTGTTTCGTATAATTTTTATGGCCACCTCTTCCTGTTCATCACTTCCGGCCTTCAGATCCTTTGCGCGGACCACAGTAGAAAATACTCCTTTTCCATGAGCAGCAATAATTTCATAGCGTCCATCAAGAACCTCACCAAAACGATGGCCTGCATCAAACGATTGTCATGAGAAGCCACCACCAAACCAATTCCCACCAACGAAAAACCATCTTCAGAAAAAATGTCCTAGCATAACTTTGGAAAAACAGCTCTAGTGTTTCTCCACTTCTGCATATTCATCAAAGAAACAACTAGCAAATTGGGGTTCCTGTACACTAAAGAAAGCTCTACACTTTGTACAGACAGTACGTTCCTGACAGTTCATTGGAAGACTTGGAATACTTCAATAAAGGCCTATATACTTAATGCAATGTCAACCAAGCTCAAGTCAACAATCCAAACCCTTGGATCCATCTTCAGAGAGAATAGAAACAGAAAGAAAGTCATTTTCAGGAATGTAAAGGAGAAAGAATAGTTCAGATATCTTCAAAGGGTAAATAAAACACACACGATTGGGCTAAGGTGTAAAATGAAGCAAAATCTTGTGGTAAACTCTAACTACCCAGCAAATCAATTAAAGAAAACCAAATAGTCCTTGAATTTAGTAGGCTTGAAAAGACAGTATAATTATTATGGGAACTGAAGTACTCACTATAATAGCCCTCGGCATCATCCCAATTGTCATGTAGAGCACTCCGCATCACAGGCAAACCGTTCACCTTGCCCTGCAAAACATTGCCAGACGAAGACTGATGCACAAGAGTTGACACGAATCTTAAAATAAAAAACTTTGGTTTAGGAGAAGTATATAGAAGTTTCCAGAATCAATTCCTGTGTCTCAAACTGATCCAGAGAAGCACTCCAGGTAATGAGTTATCAGTTATATTACAAGAGTAGAAATGTTGGAGCCTTACTGCTTTGCGAACAGCAGTAGGGGTTTCTCCAAATATATCATCGCAGTACCTTTCCTCTGATCTCTCACTCTGCACCAAATTGATGACTATCATAAATCAGGTATATAAAGCAATCTTTGTCGTCATATTGCACAATATGACAATATAGTGAAAATTCCTATTCTCAAACTGATCTAGGGGAGCACAAATACAGGTAATGAGCTGCCATACAGAAGTACATGATTATAAATGGCAGAATCACCACCTTTGGAGTACCCTCACCAAGCCCACGAGGAGAGGAAGTACCATCAGAAACCAGGACCCCGTTTTGAAGTGGTGACTTAACAACAGATGCTGCTGGCTCTGCAACATTCACATCTCCATCTCTCTTATCATTCACAGTCTCCATAGCTATGCCACTGGATGGTAAAGATTCACCAGGCTGCTCCCCGGACTCCCATGCTACAGAGCATGGAGGAAATAAAAAATTACAAGGCAACAAATAGCAGTACCCCCAACACAAATACATAGACGAAGAATATCACCCTCTGTAAGCTAAACATTCTAATGTGGGTGTGGGTGTGTGTGTGTGTGTGTGTGTGGGGGGGGGGGGGGGGGGGGGGGGGGGACAAAGGTACATCTAGAAATCAAGTTCAAGTGAGTACGCGGACACAAGTCATCAGGCAAAAACTAACATGTAGTTTAGCACATATCATCCAACACAAAGCATGCTTACTCATTTTCAAGTAACAAACTCAAACTGCTACTCCATCATCATATTGGTGATGCAACACAATCAAGCATGCTCGGCTTACAAGCTACGACAGCAGTAACAAGAGCTTGAACAAGAATTCTCAGTTCAATAATTCAAGAAGGAAAATCAAAACGAATTCTACATTGGCTTCAAGTGAAGAAAGCATGTGATACCTTTCTTTGCATCCGGCAAATTTGCCTCAGCCTGCTGATGCAACTGCTGATTTCGATACTTCTCAAGGATGGCCTCCCTCCGTTTTCTACTCTCCTCCTTAATTTTAATCAAATCATCCTCCTCTTGCTCAGCAAGTATTAATGTCATCCTCTCTTCAAAATCATCATGTTCATCTTCATCCCTATTGCCAACAGACAGACAAACCCGATTTCACATGACAGTGCATAAATACATTGTCAAACAAAGAAAACTTAGAAAAAGGAAACAAATGCATGCATATAGGATACCTCGTTGATTTCTCACTGCCATGTTCAAAAGCATCACTGTTAGCACTCTGGAAACAAGTAGAATCACTCTTCCCACCCCTATCCTTTCCTCTATTTGCACCATTCTGCCACCCCTGCTCCCTTTCTCGACCCCTATCATATTCCCTAGTTCGCCCTTTGTCACTGTACTTATCCCCATCCTTATCATTCCCTCTGTCTTGCTCCATATGTTTTTCTGAACATCTCTCCCTTGCCCTCTGCTTCTTCTGATCATGCTCCTTCTCTCTATCCCTAGCTTTCTCGTGCTCCCTCCCTCTTCTATTCCCTAAATCCAATTCTATGTCCCTCCTTTGATCTCGTTCCATATCCAAATCCCTACTTCCATGCCTTTTCTCCGACCTCCTGTCTCTGACATCATCCCTCTCTCTTTCCTGCATCCTCCTTCGATCCATGTACATCTCTCGGTCCCTGCTTCTTTCTCTACCCTTCTCCCTTTGCCTATCTCTATCAGACTCCCTCTCCTGGCTCCTCTCTCGTTCCTGCATCTTCCTTCGATCCACATAAATCTCTCTATCCCTGCTTTTTTCTCTGTCCTTCTCCCTTCTCCTTTCTCTGTGTGTATCTCTCTCTCTACTCCTGTCTATGTCATATGCATCATGGCCACGATGTCTGTCATTCCGCCCTGGGTATCTAGTGTGACTAACACTAGATTCTCTGTCCCTATCCCGAACATATTCTCTACTAGAAAGTACATCTCTACTACCTCTGCTTGTTCTTTCATCATCAGAATCCCTTTCCATTTTGTCATGATGCCGCCTTCTTTTCCAGCGGTCTTCATCTTCTACCCCACTGTTGGAATGAGATCTTTCTCTACGTTGATCGCGTGGCATGGATCCCCTCTTAGCATGAATCTCATCATGATATTTGTCCCTAGATTCCAACCGAGCATCCTCTCTGTACTCCTCCCCCCTGCTATCTGGAAAATTACTTTTAACATTGTTTGACCGGCCCTCCCCGCCATCATTAGTATCATGGTTAATCATTTGCTTGAGACCTGGCTGGGACGGAGGCTGGGACGCTGTTTTGAAAATCTTCTCATCATCATGATAAGAATAGCTTGAACTTCCATTAACCTTGAATTCTGCACCAACCTCAGAAGCACACTTATCTTGATCACCAGGCTTAGTATTTCTACTCAAACCAGCACACTTCTCATGTTTCTTACCAACTCGAGAATTGGCTATGAACCCCTCATCCTTGTCATCAAGATTATGTCCCTAAAATGAAATGTCAATGGTTATTAACAGAAAGAAAAAATTCCAAATGGCCAAAGTAGCACAAATATATTGCAAAACCAGCTCTTACAAATCAACATAAGGGCACCAGTTCTCCATTGAAACGCCTAGAAGATACTTCTTTCTTTTTGCAAGTCAACAAATGCGCATGAGATGCGCAAGCGGGTTCTTACACATGTTAAGGACACTATAACAAGCTCTCACCAACAAAACAACTTATTAGGCGCCACCAGAAAACTATTCTAATATTAAGTGAGAATTAACTCTTAACATGAATGCAAAGTAAGTAAAAGAACCAATGGTTGAAATTCTGGAACCAGACAACCTTCGTTTGTAAAAAGAACAAAACTTGGAGGAAGAAAGAACTTCGAAAAACACTGTGCCAATCACAAACTGTCTTCTATCTTCTAAAGTCACAGGGTCGAAAACAATTAAACATATTAAAGAGAACCAGACTCTCCCCCTACAATTGGTGGAAGGAAAAAACCTGGATGAATATGTTGAGTTGAAACATAACACATTACAGAAGGGGGACGGAACACACCAGATTCTCAGAATCATCAATGTCCTTGCCTGATTCCACGCCCTTAACAACGCCAGCAGCAGACGCTTCCTCGTCGAGAATCTCCCCTTCCTCCACGTCATCATCGGCCAAATTGCAATCTGGGGCAGTAGGGATCGAGGGAGAAGGAGCAGGAGGAGGAGCGTCATCCCCGCCGCTCAATTTGGCTTCCTCGTCGTGCTTCTTGCTACGATCACGGTGGTGGTGGCGGTGACGGTGCTTGTGTCTCTTGGAGGACTTCTCCAACTCGTCATCGGAGGGCGATCGACGGTGCTTCCGGCGGGAGACATCGCTGTCAGTCGCCATTGACGGAAAGGGGGATAGAATTATAGGGTTAGGGTTAAGGGTTTTAATGGAAAGGGGGGTTTAATCGAGGCAGTTGGAGAAAGATCTGTGTGGAACAAAAGCCGTGAGAAATTTCAATTCGACGAATCGACGAACGTAATTTGGCAATGGTGCTCGTAATCAGAGGAAGAACAGCATCGCTGAGAATTAGCCGGTGAGGCAGAAAGAAAGATTTGCTTTGGTATTGGATTTCGGCATTTCGCTGTTCAGTTTACATGATTGCCATCGATAGTTACCCGTATTTACTGCCAAAGGAATTGGATAAATCATAAACGGAAGGCCCGGGACCGGTTATTGTATTTGTAACAACATCCATTGTGTTGTTATTGTAACAACACTAGTCTCTAACCAATAGGAAGCTAGGATTGTGATGACTTTTTATTAGATGAGTTGACCTAGTGTAAAATCAAAGCAGGGGTATAATTGTCATTATGAAAAATCTATTTAAATAAAAAAAAATAAAATAAAATTTTTTTTTTTATTTTCTGCCCAAAAATTTGGTCGTCGGAATTCTGCCACCGTTGCCGGAAAATGGTCGCCGGTCACCGGAATATTCTTTTTGTCGCCGGAATATGCTATTTTGTGGCCGGAATATGCTTACCGGAGTCGGAATATGCTTACCGGAGTCGGAATATGCTTACCGGCGTCGGAATATGCTTACCGGAGTCGGAATATGCTTACCGGCGTCGGAATATGCTTACCGGAGTCGGAATATGCTTACCGGCGTCGGAATATGCTTACCGGCGTCGGAATCTAGTCACCGGGGCCGGAATATGCCTATCGGCGTCGGAATCTGCTCATTGACGGTCACCGGAGTTCGGTCAACGGTCTTCGTTGACCGGTCAACGGTCAACGACCACCGGATGTTATGGTCTGCATTGTGAGATTTATGGTTTGGTTTCTCATATTTTTTTATGCCTTTTATGGTTTGTTTTATTGTGTTTGTGGTTTGCATTGAGAAGTTTCTGGTTTGTTTTAAAAAACTTTGTGGTTTGCATTGTGAGGTTTCTGGTTTGTTTTAATATATTTGTGGTTTGCATTAGGACGTTTATGGTTTGCTTTTTTGTGGTTTGATTTACTATGTTTGTGGTTTGCATTATGAGGTTTTTGGTGTGCTTTCGCAAATGTTGTGGTTTGCTTTGTGAGGTTTGTGGTTTGTTTTAGGAGATTTGTGGTATGCATTAGGAGGTTTCTGGTTTGCATTAAGAAGTTTCTGGTGTGCTTTCGAAACTTTTGTGGTTTGGTTTGCGAGGTTTCTGGTTTGTTTTAATATATTTGTGGTCTGCATTAGGACGTTTTTGGTTTGCTTCACCGTGTTTGTGGTTTGTATTAGGGGGTTTCTGGTGTGCTTTAGAAATATTTATGGTTTGTTTTACCGTGTTTCTGGTATGTTTTAGTCAATTTATGATATGCATTAGGAGTTTTCTGGTATGCTTTCGAAATAATTGTGGTATGCTTTGTAAGGTTTGTTATTCTATCCGACGTTCTTACTAGATGAATGGAATTAGTAACAATAATTAGTAATGTGTATACTTACCAGGTTCGTATACATAATTACATAGTTCTCTCTTAATTAATTATGTTTTCACACATAATTGGTATGCTAGCAATTACTGGTTTTTTAGATGAGCCATACTAGCAATTTATAAGCAAAAATCGTATGGCTTACTACATCTAAAGTAAATGTGCATTGCCAAACAAAATCATTTCAATCCCTTTAGCGCTTAAAAACCCTAGAAGAGTAAGAAGAGGTTGCTTTATGCCTCATGTTGCTTCCAGAGATGTTCGCCATAACGGGCCTTCCTCTTCTACATCTTCTCCTCCTGCTGCTGCCGCCGAATCTTCTGACAACAATTCGCTCTTGTCGGAATCTGCACCCAAATTCAGCTCCCTCTGCAATGTCAATGAATCAACAACTCCGAGGGAATCAGAATTGTGTGAAGAAACAACAGCTAATGGCGGGAAGGGGAAGAAGAGGCAGCAACAAGAATCGCTCAAGGAAGATGCTGGTTTGGACTCACAAGTTGTTATTGTCTTATTGACAGCAAATTTGAGTGCCATACTTGCAATAAGGCCTTCAATTCCTACCAAGCACTGGGAGGGCACAGAGCAAGCCACAAGAAGATCAAAGGCTGTTTTATATAAATCTCACCGAATTCATAGAAATGGAAGTCTTCCCTTTCCCTTACTCTGAAAAAGAGAGAAAGAGAGAGAAAGTCGAAGACCAGAAACAGAGCAAGAAGAAAAAGGAAGGAAGAAATGGAGCTGGGCGGCCTTCGGAGATCCGCGACGTCGTATCGCCGCCAGGGATCCTCCGGCCTGGTGTGGGACGACAAGCTCATCGCCGAATTCAGCCGCCAGGCCGACGCCGAAAGGGCTGAAAGGGCCGCCGCCGCCGCCGGCAGAGATCCGTCGTCAAGCCCCGATGCTATCACCGACACCACGAACCTTCGTGTCAAAACCGACGTGCCCTCGTCGGAGCCGGGCAAGATGCGTCGCAGCCACTCCGCTTCCACCTTCTCCAGGGACGTCCGTGCTTGGTCATTTGGATTGGCATCGATCGACGGCGGCGGCGGCGGCGCTAGGAGAAAGAAGAAACGAAGGAAGAAGACAGTGAGATCTGAAGGATTGGGGATCGGAAGAGAAAGACAGAGAAACACGCTTTTCTTCCTTCTTTATTCTCTCTTTTATTTTTTAATTTTCTTGTAATTTTACCCTTATACCCTTGTTGTTATAGTAACAACAAAAAGGGTGTTGTTATTCTATCCGAGCCCGGAAGGCCCGGCTCAAGGTTGTCAGCCCGCAGGTTGACTCGTTCGAGTTAGTGGGTTAAGGATTAACGGGCAACTTGTTTTAGCCCGGAATTATGTAATGAGTCATTATTTTGTATTTATTCTGATAAATTATATCAAATCTCATCTAATATATCATATATGATATGAGTAATAACATATAACATTACACCAAAGTAACAAATCGTACTTAGATCCAACATATAGTGAAAATTCACACACACTTATATAACATCAATATTCGAATGTTCACTAAGGATTCCAAAGATTGTGTTAGGCGAAAAGAAAATTCGAAAAATAGGCGCATTTTGCAAATCAAATTAAAAAAAATGACACAATTTGACCTCCAACCCGATATCTTTTAGCGATCGACCCGGCGAATACGTACGGGCAGTTTTTCTTACCGAGTTAGGATCAAAGTGGATCGACCCGCGGGTTGACAACCTTGACCCGACTAGTATTGGGCGGTACCAACTGCCTTTCCTTTTCAACTATTTTTTTCCATTGTTTATCAAAATTGGCATTAAGTACGGGTATGCAAGTCGCATTAAACTCCTCACATAGTTCTTTGCATCAAGCAACCATGAGAGTATAATATCAACAACCCACTATAACTATGATGGTAACCCTAACCCTCTTACTTTCAAAAAAAAAAAAAAATTCCTAGCCCTCTCAGTCGCCCTCCAACATCCAAATTTCCTTCAGATAACAACCTACATTCAATCTGTATGTGAGAGACAATCTGCTCAGGAGATCTGCATACATTTCCATACAAACGAGCACACCGCTCTCGCCAAATGAAGCTCAAAGTAGCTATGGACCAAATCAATCTTCCAAATTCTTACTGTCACTCAGAGCCGGAGCCACACCAAGTCTGGATACTTCAATTCAGATGCATCTCCCGGTTGGCAAATAGAGGACGTCTGCAAAACAATTGTAACACTGCAGTCCAAACATAGGACGAATAAGGACAATCACCAAAGACATGATTCCTGGAATCAACCCTCCTGGACATAAGGGGCAGCAAGCTTCATCAACTATTTACCATGTTAACATTTTTTTTTTTCTTTGGTAGTGATTCTATCCATGACTATCAACCAAAGCAAAACACTATGACTAGGAATCATAGGCTTCCCCCACCCCTGAAATGAATGGATGGATAGCTACACGGCTCTTCAGGATCTTTTCAACTATTTCCGAATCTGTATAAGGGGTTTTCTTAAGAGAAAATAAAATACTAATTATTAGTACAAAAAACTTGCATTTTTAAATATTAGTCATGCCTTTTAAAATACAAAGTATTAACTAAATGTTAATTTTTCGATTAGAAGTTTTGTTAGTAAATTGACTTAACAACTTGATACCGACTTGGAAGATACATATATAGGTCAATATTTCAAAACTTTAGTAGTTTAACTATGAAATGAGTTACAAAATTATAACGAAATAAAAAAAAATGGCTAATATTTTGATTCGCCACAAAATATTTCCATTGCCACAATTGCAATTGGCACTTCCATCAGTGCAATTAAAAATACAATTGCATTTACATGACCACATAACTTTGTAATTCAATATGGTAGGTTGATGTGGATAGGGGTTACGATGGTCCGTACCGGATGCACCGGACCGAGTATAATGCGATTCAGTCCTTGGTCCTCATGAATTTTACAATTATTGGAGAAACGATGGATCGAGTTGATATTTGGACCAAACCAAACCAGACCAAATGGACCGAATACAATGATGGTCCAATCCTTGGTACTAGGATGTTTTCACTAACAGAAACGGTTCTCGTGACTTTGGTTCGGTTCGGACCGTACCAAACCTTTGCATGTGGATGCTCTAAATGTGACTCTTGCCAATTGCCATTGCCATTGCCCGGGAAAGTAGGCCTGAAAACATGTTTTTGTTAGTTATGCAATCTTCCCAATGCATTTCCACATCATAAATACCATGGATTCCACTGTTTTAATTGCAATGCCTGGATTTCACGATTTTACATTACACCCTCATTTATCAGGGTAGTCAAAGTCGGCCGTCATTTGCAAGTGGAACATGAAAACAAGCCATGAAAGGAGTACATATGATATAGTAAAAGAAATGCAGCCCTGATTTGTGCATCACCTTCCCAAACTAATGTTACATATTCTCTAGCTAGCTAGCTGCATATATGATTTGGTCTATTTTGTACCGTGTATAGAGCTTTTTGTGTACTATATGGATCAGTCGCCATTAGTGGCAGCAATGAAGGCTGGGTGATGATGAGGAGCATAATGACTCATATCAATGTCCTGATGATCAGCTGGTGGCTGGCCGCCGCCGAAGTCGCCCTCCTCCTCGATATGAAGGATTTCAACCCTGCGCTTCATCTTCTTCCGCAGCTTAATCGCCACATCCGACGCCCTGAATCTCCCGCACACCGTCACAGTGCATTGCTGCTTGTCTATCATATGCGTCTCCACCCCTGCATGTTGGTAAACTGTGCTCAATGTTCATCTTGTATTTTAACCCTAATAACGACCTTCATATTATATCGACATTCGAGTTAGTGAAATCAACTGGTTTCCAGCCAACATCACGTACATACCTTTGATTCTGAGAATGATTCTCCTTGTTTTCCTGCAACAAGAGTTGCAGTCTAGGTTCAGCCTCATCACCATACAACAGCTCTGCACATGATTACACATGTGTCACCACACGTTGCATATATGTATATAGTCAGAACTCAGCACAAAAGAAGAAAGTTAGGGAAGAGGAGGAGGGACTTGCCTTTACAGGAACGTAGCCTAGAACCGACATTTTGGAAAACGATTTGTTTATGATGTGTGCGTTGGGGCCTGGAAAAAGGTCTACTTTGGAGGTATTCGTGATGATTTATATGGTGAGGTGATGATCGATTATTATGATTCTGCTGCTGCTGCTGCCGCCTTTTCTACAGGTAGAGGAAAGGTTAGAGAGAGATTGCAGAATCTGATTCCTTCTCTGCATCTACAAAACGTGGGGGTTTGGTTTGTCACAATTTAGGTGTCATCCTTAACTTTGTCTCCAAACCCATCTTTCATTTGCATGTCCGGTTTGTGCTGCTTGCTCCCTCCAAGCTAGGCGGAATTCCAAATCTCTCTTTGTTGCTATCAAGAATGGAGTTTGGCAATCGAGTTAATAGATTCTAAATTGCAGAATGGAACTATAAAGAGGAAGTAGACATGTCTTGTCGGCATATTCATCAATCGCTCATGTTTGTGTGTGTATATGTTATTCCTTGCTTTTCAAGTTTGCTTTACAGCAAAGTTTAATAAGTAATGCATTCTTCCACCCATGGAAAGGTAGGATTTTACTTTTAAGTTAGGTCATATAAGCTGGTTTGATTTGGCTGTTCCATCAACACCATAAAGTTTGAGATGCAACTTCTAGCTTAATTCCCATAAGAGGAAAGCTCCAAATTTTTAATGAGTTGATCTTATGCTAATAGGGGCTACAATATCTATCATTTTTATGGATTAAAAGAATACTATAAGAAATATTCCGTCTTAAAATAAAGGCAAAATACACTTGTATAGCCATAACTTTCACGTTTTTGACAAATATAGCCATATCTTTTTGAAAACCAAAAATAGCCAATTCCGTCCATCCCTTTAACGGTGTTACTTAACACTCTGACTAGACTAACGGAAATGCTGACCTAGCAATACTTCGTCGGACACGTGGATTAACAAAAAAAATAAAAAACATAAATTCAATTTTCCGAGTTCATAAGATGAAAAATAAAAATAAAATTATTTATACAAAAATCTTCACCTTCCTCCCTGTACCCCAACCATTTTTCGCCCCCTGCTCCTTCCCGGAAACCCCACAGCGGGGCTACCATCACCGTCGGACGCACTCCGACACCTCCTTCCGCTTCGACGACCTGCTCCTCTTCGACCCACCCGATCTCGACCTCTTTTCCCTCGACCTACCGACTCCAAATCCTCCATCCCATCTCTCCGTTCAAACTCTGCCTTCCTCTCTCCGTTAAAATCCAGAGCCTTCTCTGTCTCCTCTCGTAGAAACTCCAGCCACCGCGATGGCAATAGCCGTTCTCAGCCCACAAGAATGCCTCCGCGACCCTTTCACCAACCGTCGCGGCCTCCTTCCCACCCCGCCGCGCACCAAAATCCGCCGCAACCCTAACCCCACCACCACCCCCAGTCCCACATCGATCTCTCCCCATGCCGCCGCCGTCGGATCAGCCTCAACTGCAACAAGTAGCAACACACAAGCCTCCTGCTCCATGATGAGATCGATGACAGGCGGTTGTGGTTGGCTTTTGCGGCTCTCCTCTCTCTTCCGCCTCCAGCGCCCATCCCCATCCCTTTCTTATGGAATTTCAGAGGTCATGTAATTGGGGATTTTTTGGGAGGTAGGCAGCAACAATTTTTTGGGAGGCAAGCAGGCTCTCCTCTCTCTTCCGCCTCTAGCGCCCATCTCCATTGCTCGATACCATTGTCGAGGAGCCGCCGACCCGTCGTCGTCGCCATCGTCAATCGACGGCTGCATCTCCCAGTCGCCCCCATCCCCCTCTTTTCTTCGTGTTCGTCGCAAGCACATCGTCCACTCTTCTCCGGTCGCAGATCTGCGATTTTCCCAATTCTCGCCGGTTTTGAAGCTTTGCAAAATCAAAACAAAAATCGAGTGAAGTTTTAGATCTGGGTGGATTGGGAGGAAGAACTGGTGTCAGCAGGGTCGGTGGTGGAAGGTGGAGTGACGGAGTGTGAGGAGATGATATGGGTTTGGAGTTGGGGTTGGTGGTGGAAGGTGGAGACTGGAGAGTAAGGAAGGAGAGGAGGAGAGGGAGAAGAGTTCGACAGAGGGATAGAGGGGAAGGAGCAGGCCTCATCTCATGTGATTGTTTTTTTATTTTCTATTTTTTTAAATAGATAATTAATTTATTTTTTTTAAATTAAAATATGACATGGCACTTACGTGGCAAGTGTGGTTGAGTTGTCGCTGACGTGTGCGATGATTTGGCATCCTCGTCAGCATTCCGTCAAAATATTTAACGGAGTCACAGACGGTGTTAAAGTTTCTAACGGTTTTGGCTAGATTTGTCACACTACCCTCCGTTTTTTGGGCTATTTCGTGTTTTCGAATAAAAATGGCTATATTTGTCAAAAACGTGAAAGTTATGGCTATACAGGTGTATTTTGCCTAAAATAAACTTGTGTATTATAAAGTTCAAGAAGTTATTAGGTGTAAGATAGGCGTTGAGGCGCCGTTTAATGTGTAGCTTGCATAGGCGTCACCTAAGCGTTGAAAGAAACTATAATAATTTGTACTACATGATGAATGAAATAACAATTCACAACACTTAAAAATAAGAAAAATGAGTCACAATTTCATAAAACCAAAGCTCAGTAGTTCACAAAAAAAAAATTTAGCTATTGAAAGTAATGATATAGAAGATTTCATTTGTAAATTATGTTAATCCCTGCTTTCGATATGTATTTGCCTAACCATCTAATTATACATAGGAGACACATATGTATTGTTTTACTCCGTTGACGTGTTCTCGGTACCTAATCTGCTACGAAAACTCTAGATCAGGCCTAAGCATAAGTTTAAACGCACTTTTTGAGCCATGATTATATAATAGTAGTTATTTTGTTTCTTTTTTTTAAAATAATTTCTTCTTGTTTATGGGAAGGAGAAACATGCACCACCATCAGTCATCACTGAATTAGTACACAGATATTCCCTGTCAAAAAAAATACACGGATATACATGATTCGATCAAGTTGCTTTACAAGAATGCATTTATATATCTACCCCTTCCCCCTTTTGCTTCCACTACTTCTAAAGGTTACAGAAGTGGAAATCTTCTGTAATGAATACATGTAGTAGTCTCTCTCTGACTCTCTCCCATCCCTCAACACCTCTAGGAAGAATAAGAACCAAAAATGCGCCTGCTGATAATGGCGATTCTGCTTAAAGGGTTCCTGCAAAAGATTCTGCCACCACCTCCTGGTCCTGGTCCTGGGTATGTACAAGTGAGAGTCACCTGCTTCTCCACCAGGTTTACTGTTACTGACTCTGTCCCTGCCCATAACACAACCAACCAACTCACAACCAAAGTAAAACAAAGGTGTAGTAGTTTTTGCCTTTTGGGGTCCCCTCAAAGTCCCCAACTAGGATGAAGAGACAGAATACTAGAACAAAAAATGACAACTGTCCTTCCAAGCAACCCAAAGTAAAGATTTAGCAGATGGAGGAAATGAATGACTGGAACTGGTCCAAGACTTTTGGCATTTTGAGAAGAAGTCTCTTCCTTTCCTCTTCTGCTTAGACTTTTCTATTGCGCCTTCATTCATGGTAGAGGGGTTTTATCTGCTGATAATCACTAATTCGCAATCTAGTAGTGTCAAATCTTGCGGATGCCTATCTCTATTAGCATGGCAAAAGGGAGGTTAGGCATCACCACATGTGATTGTGAAAAGAGAATCAGAAAAGAAAAAAAGTGAAAAGGTAAACAGTTCCCATGAGCCCACTTTTATCATAAAACCCAGGTCCAGTTCTGAAGCTTGAAAACTTCTCAATCCACGTTGAAGATTAGACAGAAGCACAACAGTGTAAGAAGAAGAAAAGGGTGGATGAGAGAGAGAGAAGTTTGGAAGAAGCAGCAGCCAGAAACTCACCACTCATTCTGGAGATAACATCAGCTACCCTCTTTTGACACTGTGCACACTGCATATTTGCTGATATTACTACCTCCTGAACCTGCAATCAACCCCCCCACAATAAATCTTCATGAAGCCAAATATACTGATGTTAATCATCAGAAAAGAAAGGAGGAAAGAGAGTACAGACAAGGGGCATGGACAATGACTCGATGGAAGCCAGACTACTAATCCCAGGAACAGACATGCTTCTCTTGTTCTTCTTCTTCTTCCTGCTCTTCACAGAGTTCTCTTCCTTGTGCTGCCTAACTACAAGTGCCATTTCTTCTTACATCCAGCTGCTTACAAAGAAAGAACTATAACAACAGAGCGAAAAGAAGAACCATGATGGCTTCAGCTTGCACTGGGACGAGTAGAGAGGTGATGATGAAATGAGGGAAAGGACGACGCTCCTGATCTCCTCGATCGGTCCAGCTTTTGTTAAAGTGGGAGTGGAGAGTCCCCACTGCCTTTTTATTGCCTAGTTTGACAAAGATACCCCATTGCAGCAGTTTCTTACCGAGTCGACCCCACAAGATGTCACTGTTTCTTGGACAAACACTTTCTTCCTTCCCCGTCATTATTTTTGCCCGTTAGATTGCTTACGATACCAGGCTCTTTCATATTATTATTATCAATTGTCATCATCTTTTTTTCCACATTAATGGGCTGGCTCCTGCTACAGCAATGACCAAGCCGATGAAATAGAGAAGACTAACCCCCGTTCCCAAGCATCCAATAGTGTTGACAGCTTCCAGCTTCTTCCACCCAGCTGCTGCTCCGGCTCAAAATCTGAATAAAACTCATCTATAAGCATCAGTAATACAGCTTGCTGTGATAATCAAAGAGGTAAAAGTGAGTAATCAATGAGGTAGATTGGATGATGATTGTTGAGCAACTACTTCGACGTGGATAACATAAAATAACCCCACAATGGCTTTATTATTGTTTTCAGGAACTGGGTTAGTTTAGTTGAACCTGGCTACTAACATGAAATCTCAACAACCTCTTACCTCTTGAGGGTCCAGCCAGAAAACAAAAGTTCAGACAATCCGACAATGATTCTTTGGTTAGCTTTGCTTGTTCGTGTCACATATCGTACGAACTGTGCCAGACAATAACCTTAAACCTTATTGCCTCCCTATATAATAATCTTGAATCAGATTATCCTCTGTTGCTTGACAACCCATTAAGCCTGCTACTTATGGAACATTGCGCAAGGACCCCTGGAAAGAAAACAGACGACCGAAATAGAGGAAAGGACAGACTGAGGCAACTACAACGAATAAGGGAAGGATGCTGTCAAGCTTTTCATTAAACATAGATTGCGCTTATGTACAAAATGCTACAGGAATTGGACACTAGAAAGTCATCCAAAAACTGATTTATCTATTCCCTGCAGCAAGAACAAACTCCTACAGAAAGGCTATGGCTATCAGGGTACTATACAATACAACAAGGTTAGTAGCTAGCTAACAAAGATTTACTTCTGCTCCAGGAATGCTGACAACTGAGGTACCAAAGGCTGCAAGCCTGCATCAAGTGAGATAAACATTGCACATAGCCAGCATCTTGTTCAATGATGCTTGCTACTCCCAACTCCAGCAACCCAAGAAGAAACAAAACATGTGTCGTTCATCTTGACATCACTAAGCTTGTTAAAGGCTGTACAGCAGAGGATGCAAACAGCAAATCTCTCGTGTACTTGCAGTTGCCATGGTCAATGCCCAACGCATTAGAAATCAGAAGTCTGGCATCTGGTCCGGGGATGTTTAGATGACTCATTTTGCTGCTCTTGTTCTTCTGGTTGATATTCAGGTCAGATGCAGGTGTTCCACCACCATCAGGACCACGTCTTCTCTTCCTTGAGGATTTCCATCTGAGTTGGGTCAGAAAATCATCTTTTGACAGATCCAAAACCACTTTCTGCAATTCTTCATTTCTATCATGGTCGCTTCTAGAATCTAAACATAACTTGCTACTGTCAGTTTCAACTTTTCTGGAATGCTGCTGCTCAGAACTTAACTTGCCACTGCTGTTGGTTTCAACTTTCCTGGGATGATGCATCGGATCAGAAATTGTAGGATGAGCCAACTTACTAGCAACTTGTTGGCTCACTATAGGCTTGCTTAATGACCGAGATGGAATAGAATCCATAATCTCAGGCCTTGCCTCGAGTTTTATCCAACCTTTCCCTAACCATTCTTGAGACTGTCTCAAGTCGGAACGAACAAACACTGCTTCCTTATTCTCTCCTGAAAAAAGTAGTCTAATTTCTGAGAAACCGGTGCCAAGAACCACAGCACAATAAACAATAGAGAAACATAAAAATAACTTGAACAAACCTGGGAAATGAACACGAACTGTCTGCTCAGATTCCATTTCAACAACAATCCCTTCCCACCAGCCATCATGCCACCACACATCAACAGCAGCTCCGGGTTTGACGTCAAACAGGCAATCTTTATCCAACTCGGGGGCAGGACGGACAGTTATCCTTCCAGATATCCGGATGCCCAACTTGTCAGGATTAGCAACTCGAGATGCCAGCATCCACTCCTGTGATAATTAATTGCAACTATATTGTAAGATTGATCACATCCATAGATAAACAAAGACCGTTTGTTAGAGAAAAAAAGAAAAGTTTGAATAGGCAATAATACATTGTACATACCTCCAGTTTTTTGGCTTCATCAGATGCAACTTGAATATCATCATACCTCACTTTAACTTTATCCTTATGCTTCTTAATTATTCTAGCCCTAAACCAGCATCCTCGAATTCCACTATCCTGTGTGAGCACTTCAACTTCATGGCCAACCTTCAGATGCTGATGAGGGTTCGCCTTGACCTCAGTCTTGGATAACAATGCAACGGTTTGTCCTCCCCGAACAGGAGGACAGGACTCGACTACTTTGCTGTCGGGCAAACTACCACATAAGTCGTGCTTATCCTTAACTGTTTGCAGTTGATCAAGGGCATGCAAACTATCACCTCTGGATCGACAATGCCTCTTTGTAGGCCTGACCTCATCATCGTGACCAAACTGCTGCAAATCTGCCTGATCTTTTTTGTAACCAGATACAGGGTACATATGCTTCACTATTTCTTGGTTCCAGTAGCCTTTCACTCTAGTGACATTGAAGGGCTTTACTTCATCATCTTCAAACAGATGGTAGCATACGATCGGGTTCATCCTAGTATGTGCTGCCACACTCTGGAACTTCTGGAAGTGCTGAGGACTGAGGATGACAGCCAAACCGTCTATGCATTCAACACTTAAATCTTGCAGACAAAGAGAGAAGAAAACCTCTCTTTCATTGTATTGTGAGGCAGAATAATACCAACCTCATCAATTTTGTGAAACCATCGTACCACAACCATCTTACTGCCATTTGAATCTTCATACATATCTTCCAAGTATGCAACAAGTCTTTTTCCTTCCTCATCTAGAACGTACACAAAATCATACACCTGAAAGGATATTAACAATCAAAAACTGAACAAAACTACTCAAGTGTAAACAATAAACAAGGGACCTTTTAACTCACAGAAATTTTAACACCATTTCTATGGAAAGATGGAAAGTGTTTTCTTTTTCTCCGGCACATCCAAGGGGAGCCCATCCACGAAAATGATCTAGTAACATGTCTGATTTTCAGAGATTGAGGACCCTGAAAGAAGAACAGGAAAAAGGGTAAATAACTCTATTAGAGCATCCACAGACTAACCATATTACCCCCCATATGTCAAAGCCAAAGTGAGCTCTACCTCGATATTCAAAACATCTGATTCACAGGCATAACTGCTGCTAAGAGATCTTGCTGATACATATGACTGTTGCTGCGATGAATCTGTAAAATCAAAACATATTAAAAATAAGAGCCGTCACCAAGGAAAACAGAGAAGTCTATAGCTAGAGAAAGGAAGAGTCAGAAACAACACTAAATATACAAGTGAGCCAGACATAAAAATCAAATGCAGACATACCACTAGAAAGGCTAGACAATAACATGAACATTCAGCAAACATGCAATGGTTTAAATGCATATTACAGAGAGAAAATCAACAACAGACCAAGTAAGCATCACAGGTAAATCATGACAATAATTTTCATGGAAAAAAATTTCACAACCTAGTTACTGAGGGCATGAGGATCCGATGCTCTCAACCAGCTCTTTAAAATTGAATAAGCATCCCTGCAACCCAGATCACAGTCAGTTTACAGCAAAGGCACCAAAAACTATATCTGATGCTCACTAGAATCACTACTATTGTATGGTTCATTGTCACTAAATATATACCATGTCACAAATTATAAAGGAGGATGACAAAATTCAGGCGTACTAGACGATTCTAACCTGCTGAAAGAATTAAGGGGGGACGCGGAGTACGTGGTGACTACGTCGGACGGTTGGAAAATGTTAAGAATAATGAGGGAAGTCTAAAGTCAGAGCCTAATGTTCCGAAACAGAAGAGGTAGCCCCTAAGTTGCGAAGAAGTGCAGCCTTTTGGCCCCAGAAAGGTAGACTCAGAAGGATAAATATAAATATAAAATAACAGTTACATGAAGGGCGGTTACAGATAAGTGGGCAAGGTATGACATGGAACCCAACAGATAACACAAGAAATCATGAACGAGAGGAGAGCAAGGATGATCTTCCTTAAAGATTGTCAAAGGGACTTGAAAACAGAGCTCAATCACCAATTCAATTGAAGAAATTGCATAAAAGCAAAGCAAAGAGCCAAATGACTAAGTAGTTAAATGCAGACCTTGTTGCAACAAGACTAGAGAGGAACCAAACTAACATGGAGAAGCAGGGCACCCGTCTCGAAGAGGAAATTTTAATAACCATCAGAAAGGGAATTCCCCATCAACTGTAACCCTCTCAATTAGCACATGCAGCTGGTCCAGATGTTCCCTCGAGCCAATTGCCAAAAGACTCTATTTTTACAAGACAAGCAGGAATGCCAAGATCCCCTGAACAGGTTTATTTGGCAGGGGGGAAAAAAAAAGCAAACCAAAACCCAGAACTCTATCTTTATGAGGAAACCAACTTCTAGACAAACCAGGACATCCCAGAAACCAAAAAAAATTTGATAATTCTAAGCGGACGTCTTAAGAACTACGGAAGAAAGCTAAAATGAACAAATAAGCGGAGAATTTGAAACCAAAGCTGGGGTCTTTTCTTCCAATTTACGAGTTACTAACCTGAAACAATCGAGTTGAGCCAATCCACAACCTCACGCCTGGTCCCGAGCTTCAACAGCGGACCCATAGAAACGGAAAGGGAACGAATCCGGTTGCCGTAGCGGTAAGAAATATGCCTCAAGCTCTTCTATCTTTGCCAACGACAGCCAGATCCGTACCTCCGTCGTTACGCCTCAGGTAATATCGAACCTCTGCCCTCCCTGTATCTCTCCTCACATTCACCTCCTCCCAGCTGACATACTTCACCTCCTCCGGCGTTGTCGCCGGTGCCGATCCCAACCTCTCCATCCACTAACCGAAAAGGGAAAAAGGAGAACAGCAAACCGAAGAAGCGAGAACTCTCGAACTTTTTGGCGCCTCTCGCTCTCCTTATCTCGCTCTAATCAATCGGTTCGTGCGGGGGAGTTTAAGGAAAAAGGAGAAATTTGGTTTCGGGAACATTTAAAATGAAGGCAGAAGCGTAGAAGCGAGAACTCTCGAACTTTTTGGAGCCTCTCGCTCTCCTTATCTCGCTCTAATCAATCGGTTCGTGCGGGGGAGTTTAAGGAAAAAGGAGAAATTTGGTTTCGGGAACATTTAAAATGAAGGCAGAAGCGTAGGAGCTAGGGTTTGGAAGAAAAGCTGGACGGTTGCGATTAGGGATTTAATCCAACCCGTAACCATGGGTCTCCTACCCGACCGTACCCGGTCAACGAGGGTAATTACCCGTTTTGACGGGTTAAGGGGCGGGTACAGGTAATACCCGATTTCAAAATAAAGGGTAGGGTACAGGTATGTAGAGGTGTCAATCGGGCGGGTTCGGGCTGGGTTCATTCGGGTTGCGGATTGGTCGGGTTGCGGGTCGATCGGGTTGCGGGTTGATCGGGTTGCGGGTTGATCGGGTTCGGGTTGCTCGGGTTACGGGTCAATCGGGTTGCGGGCCAATCGGGTTGCGGGCCAATCGGGTTACGGGTCAATCGGGTGCGGGTTAAACGGGTTGCGGGTCAGGCGGTTCGGGTTACGGGTTTTACAGACCAGAACATCGCGTTAGTTTTTAGTGATTACTAGTAAGTCGTAAATCGTAACTATATGAAGCTAGCACAATACTTGTAAAAAAAAAGGAATCACTACTCAAAGTTATAAGATTAGTGTCAATAAAGCAAATATCAACACAATTGAAAATAATCTTTCTTGTAGCATGAACACCAGCAAAATTGAAATCATCTAGAATTATCCAAATCATCATGCTGATACAAGATTTATAAACTAGCTTAAATACCAATAAACTCTCAAATCTTCATGCTGAGTTGAGGATAGGTACAGGGAAGGGAGAAAGAGAGAGAGAGAGAAAGAGCGAGTGTGTGTTTGGAATTTGGAGGCTTGCGGGCCAAAATTTTTGAGAGCTAAGGTTTTTCCTTTTTTGCGCTTTGTGGCCAAATTTTTTGAAAAGAGGCAGCTACTTTGCCGCTGGAGCAAATAAAAACTTGGAGCCAATTCTACCAAAAATGAAAATTTTGGAGCCAAATACCAAAGAATATTTGGAACCAAAGTCTCTTTTGCACTTGGCGGTCAAATTTTAGAAAATAGGCGGTTACGTTGTCGCTGGAGCAAATGAAAATTTGGAGCCAATTCTACCTAAAATAAAAATTTTGGAACCAAAATACATCTTAAGCAAAAAGAATTTATCCCTCATAAAATTGAAAGAAATAATTTATGAAGAAATTCTTAAAAGTTCACACGAATTACCGTGATTAATCACGAAAAATGAAGACTAAAAAACTGATAAATAATTCCCCGTGATTATAGCTAAACTGGGCCAAGCTTTTACTTAGCTCAGGCTCGAGCTTTACAGAGATTTTCTCAACTCGAGCTTGATCTCAGCTTGATTATAGCTAAAAAAACAAGCTCATCAAGCCCAACATACTATGCCCAATAGTAGACCCACAAGAGCCATTATTGGGCCAGAAAAAAACCAAAATTGCAGCCTCTTGTAAGGGCCACTTCTTGGAATTGCTCTGGACTTGCCCCAAATGGAGAAAATCACTCATTATTATATAGTTGGGGAAGAGTGGAATTTATCTTCTACCAACGATGTGGTAGAAAATGCTTTCCTCACCAAACAACAGAGCATGCAGCAGCAGAGTAATAGCAGAGAAGCCACCGTTGCCATTGCAGTTCCTCTTGTTGAAGTTCCCCGTTGCTTGGACAATGCCCTCATACAGTAAAGGAACTCCGAGATGGGGATTTGAGGAATCCAATGATAATGCAGCTTCACAATACAACTTTTGAGTCTCTTCCATTGTTGAGCTCGGCTGCTGCATTTTTGGGTTGTAACTCTTTGCTCTGTGGTAACCAGGTAAACATGGAAACAAAATAGTATTGTATGATGGAATCCGTCTATTCTTGTACCAGATAGTTGGGATTTGGGGACAGGTCGAGCCAGCTTTGACAGAATGGTAAGTGCTGCAGCACACTTTTGTTCCAAGAGCTGTTAGTTTCTTGTACTTGTTAGCTGACATCAATCTGCTGCTATCTACATTGAAGGTAACGTAGAGTGACTTTTAGTGGCAAAGCTCTTTGTTCCTATCAATTTGGATGATTGTTGTTGCTTTTGGAGGACTTGTGTTTTTGTGATGGAAAGACATGTATATGTACATTGACGTGGAGGGGAAGTTGAGAGGGTGCTGTTGGGTGGTTGATGTAAATTACAATAAATATTTATTGTATGCCTATGATTTTAGGTTCATAACAAACCATCCATATGAGCATCCTATGTTCTTTTATTTTAGGTTTCTTTATGTTTTTAGCTTAAAAAGACACTAAACCATGACCATATACCCTATACACTAACCTTAAACCATGAACTATAGTTATATGTTACGAAATTGTTGGTAGAACGTACGTTATGTGAAAAATGTAAGTTAATTCAATTTTATATTTGATTATTGTGAAGAACATACGCCCTAATCCTCCTAACTCTAAACCATGACCGTATACCCTATGCATTAACTTTAAACCCTAAACTCTTGTTACATGTCATGAAATTGTTGGTAGAACGTAGGTTATGTCAATTTTAGATTTATATTATTGCGAAAAACATAAGTCCTCATCCTAAGATTCCTTACCCGAAATCATTTTAGATTTTGATTCAAGTGTCTCAATGATTTATTATTTATAAATACATATTGTAAGTTAGATTTTGATTCAAGTGTCTCAATGATTTCTTATTTAGAAATAAATGTTGTAAGTTGCAACCAAGTTTAATTAAGTCAAGTTTAGGCGAGAACCTTGAATTGCAAAGACTATCACAAAACGAACAAGGGTTTGGCCTAGTGGTAAGTCAATAATTGATGATGTAATGATAAGACTTTAGTAAACTAGAATTTCAAATGTCAACTTTTGGTTTATCTTCATCGAATTCCTTCTATTATAGTCGGGCTGCGGGTTGGTCGGGTTATGGGTTCGGGTTAGTCGGGTTGCGGGTTGGTCGGGTTTCGGGTTAATCGGGTTACGGGTCGATCGGGTTGCGGGTTGGTCGGGTTATGGGTTCGGGTTAGTCGGGTTGCGGGTTGGTCGGGTTTCGGGTTAATCGGGTTACGGGTCGATCGGGTTGCGGGTTGGTCGGGTTGCGGGTTGATCGGGTTGGTCGGGTTGCGGGTCGATCGGGTTACGGGTCGGGCGGGTTACGGGTCATTGACTTTTAGTCAAATCGGGTTGCGGGTCGGGTTGATCGGGCGGGTTACTCGGGTCGGGTTACATTTTGACAGCTCTACAGGTATGGTAATCGATAATACCCGCCCCGCTAACATAAGGGTCAATTTCCCTTGAGAAATTGAGTTTAGCTACCATTATTGATGATGAAGATGTAGACGATTATTCTGTTTGTGTGGATTGTAGAAGCAAGAACAATTATTATGTGTTTGCTGTTTTTATTTGTGTGGATTGTTGAAGTTAGAATAGTTACAAGTATTGAGAATTTTTAATGGACAACAGTATGTATGTGCGTATATGTGTATAAGTTCATAGTTTAGGATTCGTACCCATGGTTACCCGAATACCCGTGGTTACCTGGTGGGTAGGGTATGGTTATATAATTTTCATACCCGGTGGTTATTTGGTCGGGTATTTTAGAAGGCTCTACCCGGCGGGTTAGGAGTTGGTATAGGGTAAACCCGCACCCGACCCTACCCATTGCCATCCCTAGTTGCGATTAAGCGTCTACGTGGGTCCACGTAGGGGAAGGCGGTAGGAAGAAGCGTGTGGATTTCAAATATACAAATTCCCGAAAGTACCCATGGAAACCGGAGACAGTTTTACGAGGTTAGCCCTGTTGGGGACCCAACTGGCCAACTCTTATCCCGTCAGGCCGTCGCATGTCTTATTTGCTGATGTGTTACGCCGGAAATCGACATGGAACTAGGTCGTCACTAATTTTGTCACGATAAAACCGTGAAGTTATACTTGAAAAATTGGGTACGTATTTTGTACTAGAACCGTGATTAAATCGTAGTTCAATTATTTTGTATTGCTAAAACTGTTTATTGGTTAGAGTTCGGTATCCGGTGTTTGCGGTCAGATTGACCGGTGTAGTAGAGTTTCTTAAACCATGATTTTTGTAGGATATTTTGTGATACGATCGTGATTCAACCATTTCGTACAGGTAAAATATTATTTTTTAAATAAAACAATATATTTTTCAAAAACCCTTATTGTCCAAAATATGGCACGATTCCGGATAATACCGGAATATGTTGGATAGCAAATCTCTTAAACTATGAATTCTCAATTGAGACATAATAAAAATTCCTACACAATTCTTGGATAAAAAGAATTTCTTACATCTACACAATACTTAATAACTGAAAAAGAAAATTGGCAACCATATTTGAAATTCTCTGCCATTAGAAGGAGTTACTGAGGGCAAATTCTGAAAGAGAGTACATTCTCTTAATGTGTTAGAGTTCTCACACATTTCCACATAGTAGGTAGAACGAGGATTTGTCCTCCCTGACTGGCAAACCATTTGAACTCTATGCATGTCACTATGTTTAAATTTGAGAGGTTGTTTGTTGTTGATAGAGTAGCTCTTGAATCTTGATGGCATCCTTGAATGTATCGAAGTCCCTAAAGATTTGGTGTAGGCAAAATTGAGGGTTGCTCATTTCTTTTTCTGGATTGAATTCATGGTATCTTGAATGAGTTGGAACACCTTCTTCTTCATCAGAGTGAACACTACCCAGATTGTCTGAATCATACAACTCATCATCAACATTAACATCAAATGTAGAGTCAATATAGATATCATGCCTTTCATTCTCCACATAATTGGTATGTCCCTCCATGTCCTCCTCACTTCATAATTCCCTGCTGAAAGTAGTTCCATATCACCCTCCACTCTCTCATCATTGGTCTCATGTCAATATCCAGTTACATTCTCATGTTGGTGTTCATCACCCATGCCAAGCCCGACTTCCGTAATGCTTGGACGCATTTTTTAAACTAAAAAAATAAGAGAGCATGTGCTTGAAGTGAAATGCCCTGCAATTTTCACCCATTGATCATCCAACGGCAAAGAAGAAAAACAAACACGAAAATAGAGCACTCAAAGAAACCATAATTCACACACCTATTTCTCCATCAACTCATGAACAAGCTATCTTCGCTAGTCGTTTCAAATTCCTATCAATAAGAAGCAAAGAATTATAGGAGGAACCATAATATTGCCATTGCAGGGGTCTGAATTGGAGGAAGAAACAGAGTAGCGCAACAGGGGTCTGGAATAAATATCGTACAATTTTTTACAGCGTATGTTGATCTTTTCTTCCTTCTTCGCACGATCGTCATCTCGCCAAATAAATCTCTTTGACGATTGTTTATGTTTTCTGCAGGGAATGGTGCCCGACGGTTCAGCTGTTGAAGTGACGTTCTGAGAATGAGAAGTTTCCCCTGCAGGGAGTGGGCCCATCAAATTTCGGTGGCCCACATGTGAGTCCGCAACTGACGTGGCAGTCGGAGTCGGCATGGTTATTTATATTTCGTCACCTACTGTTAGCTATGAGGATGAAAATGGTAATAGTACTACCAAAATTTGACGTAAGTGGTTTATTTGCAACAAAACGTACTTAGATGGTCATCGTGCAACAAATGATGAACTTAAGTGGCAACCTATACAATTAACCAAAAAAAATGAAACCTACCAGACTTACTGCTTGTTTCGTTGTCGCCGGTGGGGCTCGGAGTGTTGTCGTTCTTCTCCCCCACCAGATCGGGTCTTCGATTTACAGAGAGAGTATGAGAGGACTAGGGGAAAAGGAGGCGAATGAAGTAGGAATTTGGCTTCTGTTGTCGCTTCCCTTCTTCTGCCATCATCCATTTTCATAGATGAATCAAGAAGGGAGGGAGATGAGAGGCAAAACGCGAGATGAGAATGGAGAATCCTGTTTTTTTTTTCTTCTTTAAGTTTAGGTCGAGGTGAAGAGAGGAAAGAAAGAATGAGAGGCGGCGGCTAAAACTAGGGTCTTCATCTCCATTTCTTGTACTTGATATACCTTGCATAAAAATGACTCTTTTGCCCTCTGCATTTTTCATAATTAATCCAGAGACCTTCAATTCAAAATTAGCTCCTTAATCACTTAAACAATTTTTTTGGAAAGAACCACTTAAACAACCTCAACTTCTTGATACAACTAATCATTCATCAATTTGTAGTTAAAACATCTTTAATACGATTAAATAATGAATTAATTAGAATGTGATTATATATTTCTATTATTCGAGTTAATTAATTATAGCTTGTATATTAAATCTATTTAACCCATGTTTCCATTTATACTAACGATAAACACTCAAAATACTATTTTAAATGCAATCGGTACGCGGACGGATACCTTGTTCAGCAACCAGGGGAGTGCTGCGGCGATGACAGTGTAATTTATTGGCGAATTTATTTTTTATTTTTTATTTATTTTTAATTTATTGTGATAATGAGGTGGAATTTTTTAAAGATTAAATTTTATTTTTCATTTTTTAATTGCCATGTCACTCATTTAACGGTCAACTCTTATAGTTGACTGCCACGTCAGATAAAGTTAACGGAGAGTGACCAATTTAAACTTATGAACTAATTTAAGTGACTACGGATGGAATAAATTATTTTTAGTGGCAAACGTGAACTTCTTAAGTAATTCTAGTGACCAAACTTGCAATTTAGCCATTTTTGCTAGTAGTGTCAAAAGTCATAAACATTTAGCAGCTTAAGACAGTGAGCTTTGTAGTATTGTCGATGAATTATAGATGATTGCTGAATTTTTCAAGGAGCTTGCTATGACAGTAGGAGAGTTTTCAAGCTGGCTTGTACTATTAAATGATCAATGTTGTAACTGATCACTGTGAATTTTTTTTATAGAAGCATTAGAGGATTAAGAAGATCATGGATACACTCATGTTGATCTTGTTCCTTTGGGGTTTCTTGTAAGCATGAGTTGTTTTCTTACTTTGAACATATATAATTCATCACGAAAGCTTATGGCCAAGAAACTATGTGCAATTATGATTTTAATGCTTGGAATGGTGGTTTGAGATGGATGTTTGTGATCATATCCAACAGCTGTATTTTCTATTATAGGTTGCACATATTAATATTATTGATAGTTCATCATGTTGTGAATAATTATCCCGATGGTGGGAGTAAGCAACACCATTAACACGAAATAGAAGAGAAGGAGTAACACCGCTTTTATTCTATACTCTCATAGATTGATTACATGGAACCAATATGGAATACATAGAGAAGTGAGGGAGAAGAGGAATGAATTGTTGTGGTTTTTTGTGTCTTCTTCTTCTCCAAGCTTTCCTTTATATAGTGCATCAAGTGTAGAGCATTCTCATCATTGGTTGGTGGTAGCTAGAGAGTTGCTAATGGACATCCACTAATTGGTGGTAGCTAGAGAGTTGGTTGTTGGCTAATGGACATCCAATAATTGGTGGTAGCTATTTCATAATACTCCCCCTTGGATGTCCACTAATTCAGAACATGCCTCGTTAAAACCTTACTAGAAAAAACCCAGTGGGATAAAAACCTAGTGAAGGAAAAAGAGTACATGGTTCTTCTGTTACGCGTTGTATACTGCCTCATTAAAAACCTTACCAGGAAAACCCAGTGGGAAAAACCTCGATCAAGGGAAAAAGAGTGCAGTGCGTTAAGTCTCCCCCTTATGGAGAGATCTATCAACATCTCCCCCTCGTGGAGAGATCTATCAACAGTTTGAAGTCTTCGAGCTCCAATATATTTTCACATGACGTTGTGGAGAGTAGTATTGTTATAGACAAATCTGCTGGATTGTTATTTAACAAACTTTGCCGGTTCCACAATTTTTCATGAAGTTCGTTAGTGAAAAACAAACTTCGCTAAAAATATCCTCATATGTATATTTTCAGAGGATACATGTAATATCACTTTCATATATGATCGTCTAGATCAATCTTTGAGAAATATGTTAAATAATTGATAACTTTATCAAATAGATCATTATTCTCATAGTGCTCTTAATCATCAATATATCTTACTCATTCTTATCATTTGTGCACCTTTTATATATTTCTTGATGCACATGACTTTCCCTTGCAAATATTTGATTTGCAATCCAGGGGATAGTCTAGTTCTTTCAAGTTATTGATTTCAATTACTTTTGAATACTCTTCTAGAGTTTCAAGTCAATCAATAACTTCGTATCTTTGAATACTCTTCTAGAGTTTCAAACATATTTATACCTTTAATCTCAACTTGAAATCATTGTTTACAAATGTGTCGACACCCCAAAGGTGACAAAGAATTTGTCAACACATTGTCATGAGAAGTTTGGCTCTTTCAACCAATGATTCTTTGTGAGAACACATGAAGCTATCATTGGAAGATATTCTAGGTAATTCATCTGTCTTCCTCAAATTATAATAGGAATATGGAATTTGAGATCATTCGTATTTCTCCTATCTCGTAGAAACTTCATAGAGATAGTTATTCCATATATATCGATGCTCATTCAATGTGTTTGAGTGGAGGATTCAATATACTTGAATAATGTTCTCCACAATCTCAACATGTTTGCTTCAAGCAAACTAACTCCTTCAGAGAGTTCCATATGAATTTCATCATTAAGCATGCTTTAGTATCAACCTTCATTAGACGCATATATAACTTTTATATACTGCCAAAAACCATATCCACCATATGCAAGTTTTCCTAAGTCAATGCCAATTATTTTGCGAAGACCTTTATGACAAGTCGAGCATGATATCTCTTAATTTCTCCCCCTTTGTCATGTCTTCGTAAAACATCACATGAGTTTTACTGGGATTGCTTTTGTATAGCTCTTATGACCTTTTACTGTTTAGGCTAGTTCATAACTGCCTTAAATGCGTCGTTACAACTTGGTCTATAACCTTTTTAAGGTGACAAATGGATCTAACTTCACGACCTTCATTCATATCATATTGTGCGCTACAATATATAAAAACTCTATCATTAACGTTGACTTCCTTTCGATTCCATTGAATCTCATCCAAGATATAATTTATTGAGATTTCTTTCATAATCCCGAAATAGGTACATGTGGTTCTTCCATACCAATGTTATAATACTTGGAGATTCAAATAAGCTTGCAATATCCTCATCAGAAAGACCATCTTTATTTTGAGCTCCTTTTATTTTTCGAGGACTTGTATTTCCTTGGAATCGATTGTTCAACACATTACATATGTGTGTGCAACATATCCTTCAGGGATATAGTTCTTAGGAGCATTAGTAGCTTTTGTGACTTAGTCACTCCTTTGTGATCATTAATTACTCCTGGGAGTAGGCTTACTAAACTTGGCAAATGAATTATCATTGAACTTCAAGTTCACATTACAAATGTGAGGATCATAATTCATTTCAACCAATTTTAGAATCAGCTGCTTATTTTTCTCCCCCTGATATTAGTTTACAATATCCTTTCAAGAACCCATCTTTGTAAATTGTGGTGGAACAATTTACAATATATAATCCATCATAAAGTCTTTGATGAGAATTTTAAGGTTCCTGACCAAAACCAATTTGTACAGAGGTTTAGTAGTGATAACTTCTTGGCATGATGCAAAATCGATACTGCTACATGCCACTGGCATGTCTTCAATAAGTTGTTTCACATGTTTATGCACAAGCATGTGCTACATGGCATTTGATATTGAAACCAATAATATGAGATTTAAATCCACCAATAATCATCGAGAAGTATTCTCTTCATATTGAACATTTGTTCATATATGCCCGTAAGTGAATCAATTGTGCAACCAATCTTGCAAACTTCAGGTTGCAGGTGGAGTGATAATTTAGACGATGCATCGATTAAAACCATAAAATAACTAAATGATCCATATGGTGCGTTGATCCAATAGTTTCACATTGTATATACTAATTACTTCTCACTTTCATAGGTGATCTCATAATCAACTTTTCTTGAGAATATACAGCACACAAATAAATCCTTCATTGTGAAATATTCGAAAATATTCTCATAAAAGATTTTCATGAATCCTCGATTAGCCCAATCGGTCATGCCAAGCAATCAATTTACAACAAACATAAACTTCAGGTTTATGGCTCGTTTCATTACCTTTTGCTTCAGGAAGAAGGACTAACTAAGAGTAGTAATTCAACATAATAACATGTATTATGCAATAATTTAAGAATAAGGATACCAAAAGGGGACACGGTCGATGTGGTACGACTCTTTGACCTCAACTGGAACGATTGTTCTATGTACTATATGTGGTAGATATGCTTCTGGCATTTAATGTGGGTTATGCTTACGACATATTACCCTATCAATAAAAAACTGTTGGATACAACATATAACGCAACATCTCAGTATTGTCGCCTGATAATTTTGATATGCTTCTGGCATTTTGTAGGTAATGTCGACCGACATATTACCCTACCTCTTTTGTTTCTTTCTAAAATTTCAAACTAAAATCTTCTCAATATTATCGGAAATCTACCACATCAACATCCTTATCTTATCCCCTTTATCGGCTACAAAACAACAATCTTCCTCCTTGATATTTCATTCAACTCAAGCCGAAAAATTCATATATCATTTCTCAATTCCATCATTCTTCTTCCCTTCTTGGGAATATCTTCTCGTCATAAGTCGCTTCAGGGATCTTATCAAGTTCGAGTGAAGCAATGG